TATGTTAAAATGTATCATGCAAAGATTTATTTTACTCAATGGTTCACAAGATTTCGGTGTTGATTTTTAAGTATTTCAAAACTTTGACATAACATATAAAAGAAAAAAAAGAGATGCATGTATGTTCATGCTTTTCCCCATATCACAGATTTAATTTGGTTTGATCATTAATTTTTTTTTTTTAACATGAACCTGAGACACCTTTTATATCTCTCCTTCATACATTTGACTGCCCCAAGAGCAAAGTCCTTGAATCTTGGCCTTGTTCAGGTATTGATCTCAGCCCATGAGGATACATATTTAGTCACAACAATCTGACAAGATTAACCAAAGCTTTGGGTCAGGGGGAATCTATTCCTGAGGGAAGAGCCTTTTTTTTAATCAGTTTGGCTTATCTCTTTCGTTTTGAGTTTCGGCAAAGTCTGTTGGCTTCCAGATGTGACCCAGAACAATGGCAGGGAAACAGTGAAATAGACAGGATCCTTTTGACAACTGTCCTAAGATGACTTAGTTTTGAGAAATCAAAGAAATGAATGCATTGTAATTTGTGTTAGTATCCATAAGCAGCTGTAAGGTTATCATAGAAGAGTTTATATAATCAATGTGTTTACTCCACAAGTCCTTAGAAAATATGTCTCAGTTCATTAAGCAAAACCTCTAACCTCAGTGCGGTGCAGTTATTAATCTATTTTAGTCCTCATGAGGGTAAATTATTGAGCTCCAACCACCTCTAACATCTTTCACCTCCCAATGTTACGGCAAATGTCAAACTTTAACCACATCACATTCTTTTCAAGAACATAAAATACACCAAAGTCAGGACATCTCTATCACTTTCTTATTCTTAATCTTATTAGTAATCTAACAGTTGCTTGAGTTTTCACAGATGAAAGGCTTGTTATCAACTTTTTTTCTCTGTGCAGAAACCCTCGTTAGTGTACTCAGTGATCAATCAGGTGTCCATCTTTACCAGAAGGAAGTCAGACTATTATTTCAAGTTTTTATTGCTTAATTGAGTCACATGAGAGGACACAGTTGATGTTTATCTCAGTTTATGATAAATGGTTTCTCAAGGACTCTAATTGTGGGTGACGGCAGACTGTCTTAGTTATAGTGTTTGTGCAACATAGTGCCAAGAGCACTGTTGTTCCTGTCAGTCAGATAAATGTCAATCCAAATGAGATTTCACTGTAGTTTGAATGGGATCCTCATGGTGGGTAAACAGTAACTGAACACATAAGTAAACAAAAACAGTCTGACTGAAAAAGTCAAAGAATGTGGAAATATGCACCGACACGCACGAAAACTGTCCCAAAAGGCTCAAAAGATTCATAAATGACATTCTGAAGTGAGACAGAAACACAGAGATATATCATCTCAATTGTTGCACAGTTACTGATTTCTTTTGCATTTACAGTTATGCTAAAATAATGGGGTAAGAAGCAGAGTAAATAAATACAGAAAAATGCACAGAAAAAGAAAAAGTTACCAAGTCATTGTGCATTTATAAGTTGGTGAATCCTTGACTGTCGCAGCCTGATTTCTACACAGCAATCAGTGAGTCCATGGACAAGGACAACAACAGGTTACAGGACAATCAGGTCTGGGGAAAAAGGTCACAGCGATCCTGCCCACCCACCAGCACTTGTCTCGCACATTAACAAAATGAGGAGGGAAAATTACAGAGACTATAGACATGTCAAGGTATGGCTTTATTTTCTATTTATATAAACTCTCTTTTCATTTTTATTGTTTCGTACCAATTTACTTATCTATTTTCCTTCACTTTTTGAATCCTGTGTGACACTTTGAGCTGCTGACACGTGAAAGCACACTTGACCAATAAGCTTGAGTCTTAGATCGTGATTCCTAGAGAATTACTTCACATTAGCTTGTGCATTTCTTCTATCATCTTTAAGACCCAAAAAAAATGTTGTACATACTGAGGGTTAATGGTCTACATGTCCTCACCGTCCTTTATAATGATTTATTTTCTTTTTTTTTTCCTTCCAGTTAGTACTGTTGAAGTAGTGAAATATGGGGTGTTCTCCATTTCTACCATGAATTTACTGCATATACAGTAATAAAAAATAATTTGATCTCATGGCATAATAAAACAAGCTTATTTATTCTATTTCTGTTTTGACCCTGAAAGTGGTCTTTGACCAATTATTCTTACCATGTATTAGCTAAAACTGAAGTAACATATGGTGTCAAAATGCATCATCATGCAATTTGTTTTGTAGAAAAGCAAACACAAGTCTTTTATTTCTCTTCATAATAGAAAGTGAAAATAACATTGCAGTCAGTATTCTTTGTTTATTACTGTAAGAAGCCTTTTAATAACCCTGCAGATGCATAAGAAAGCACAGATATTTCAATGTTGAACTTACCTGCAGAGAAGAAATTAGAGGACATCAGGTGTCACATCGGTTCTGTGTTGACACAGTCAAAGTTACCTCTGACTTCAGTTGGCTGCAGAGTGCTGAGGGTCGGCCTGGATCTGAGGCAAAGTCTCATTTTCTTCTGATATCACAGCAATCACTTCCCTCTGAAACCCTATTGGACAATCTGGAAGAATTTATGACCTATGGAATATTTTAAAGGTCCCTTGGGACAAAAACATCAAACGTCCTCTGACCGTTTGTTTCAGGTGATGAAATATAAATTGTGCAAGTCAACCAGTCTTCCTCAAGATGGCAGAGGCAAAGAAATTTTGACGATTGATAGGTTATGCATATTTGAGCCATTTCCCTTTATTTTTTCATAATTCATTAGACAGAAAGTTAACCATTGCTCCACCAGGTGGAGACTCTGTCACTGGCACAAAGATTTTCTTTGTCTCAATTGTCCTCAATTTGCTTCTGATAAGACAAGAGATCACAGCTGAACCGCCAGGACACTCTAACTTTTAACCCACGTTTATTACGGCCATAAGAGCATCAAAAGCTGTTACAAAGAGGTCAACAACACCAAACAACCTTGTTGTGTTTTTTGAATTAGAACATGACAAGCCCTCTTCATTGAAACCACTTCAATATGTATTGTTTTGTTTTTTCAGATGATATGTGAAGAAAGAGATAAGACACATTCCTCTGAGAGATAACCTGCAAAGAAGGGTTCATCATTCATTTACAGGCAGCAGCTATATAATGAATAAGTGAAAACACAGACAGAGAGGAAATAGTATTACTTTCTTTGCTACAGAACATAATAATACCCAACTGTGAGATATTGATTTAAGTGTTTAAGACATCAGACAACAACATCATCCAACATGATCACGTGATGTAGAGATCCACAATTTGAAAAGAAAGACATGTCAGGATCTGATTTAAAGGATCAGAGGAAAAGGTGCGAGAGCAATAAAAATAAAACTTTTATTAGGCCACTTAAGTGGTTATATAATAATTATTAATACTATTAAGCTGTGATTTCAGTTAAAAAAAAAACAACATGGCAAAACAGTAACAATATGTTACAAGTCGGAATGTTATGTTCAGGGTTATGCAGTGTACAGTACAAGCCTGGCTGTGTTATACACAGGTGAGGGGGAGTCAGTAGAGGCAGGGTTTCTGCAGGTATTAGAAAATGGGCAGAGACCGTGCAGCTGTGACAGAAAGGAAACTCATTCTGTCACTGCAGTGTAAGGGGCAGGAGGAGTCAGGACCAGGCAGCAACGGCCTTCATCATTTTAACTGGAGCCATTGGGAGATATTGATAGAGGAGCAGCCTGAACTGTGTGGAAATGTCATGAAACAGTAAAACAGTCATTTTCCTGTCAAGCCAGAGACCTGAGGGGTGATAACCTCAGTGGTGACTGTTAATGATCGGGTCAGTCACGGTATGGAACGATGCCAAATGTTCAAGATAAAGAACCTTAAGTTTCCTGGCAACATCCAGCCAGCCAAAAGATGACGGATATAGCTGAAAATTATACAGCCTGTCATTTCAGAGCGTGGACTGGAAATTGCACTTGATGCACTTCATTTCATCACTTCAACACAACAATACTGTATGCCAATACAAAGATGGAAACATCTGGTTTGAGTATCTGTCTTTATTCTGTTTTGTCTTTATTCTTTTATTGTCTTTTATCTTTTGGTCTTTGTGTTGTATTTACGTGCCCTGTGTTTTTATGTTTTTATGTGTACTCAATGCATATATCCCACTGCTGCATACCCAATTGCCCCACTGGTGACAATAATAACAGAGTTATAGATTCACTGATTGATTGATCTTAAATTTCTACATCATTATAGATGACACACACCACCACCCACATAATTTTAAATATATGGAATATATATTGTAGGAGTGCAGATTCTAACTAGTATTACTTAAGATAATAAGCTTGTGATTGAATTGTTCATGTACGTGGTAAAAAAACGACAAATGATAAAACCAGAATTCGTCACCCAGCTGTCAGTGTTTTTAATGGCTCATTCTGTGAGAAGACACGCTATCCCTCAATTACACTGAGACCAGTCTCCAGTCTTTGTCCTGACACCCATGACTGGGAGTGCTGCCTCTTAGGTAAGGTAAACTCACGTCTCCATTATTGGCTGCTTAAGCTCACTCTCCTCTAATGACAGCCATAGTCCCATTGTAATGCAGAGCAGTGCAGCCTGCTATAATGACAAATAGCAGCTGGAACTACCTGTGTCCGCTGGCAGGTAAACAGACAGTGGGAGCAATTGCACTTTTGTTCTGACTGTTTACACACTGAGGGACATGCTGAACATATTGTAATTAATCACGCAAAGGTATTCTTACACACCATTGTGGGTCGTTCACATTGTCTCGTAGTGCACTTATGTGGGCAATGGGTGCTGTGAATATATGGTCAGTCGCCACAGACGGGCCTATTTAAGAGTCATGTCAGGCTGAAACCTGAAGAAAGACTGGCACACAGCTGTCAGTCAGTCTGCAGTTATCAGTCATACGTGAAGTATAATAGTCTGATTCCTGCAGTGATGCTTTCAGAAACATTCAGATCCCACAATCTGGGGATGGCCGTCTTCTTACTGGGTTTACTAACAGCTGGTAAGTGCAACTTATATTCCACAGAACAATGTTTAAAGATATAATATACTGGGAGATTTATTTATTATGTATCTTATTAAGTATTTTTGGTTCACATTTGTCTCTGATTTTAGGACGTGGATGTGCTGAACCCAGCTGCACAAATCGCAGATGTCTGGCTGAAATGTTGATAAATAAAAATTTCTCATCTCAACCACAGTATGAAAACTGCACCCAAATAATACACGTGCCTTTCATTGAGTACCAAACTTTGTCAGTTGTAAGTATTGTGTTTTATATTTTATGTAAATTTGTTTTTTCGTTTTAGATCTCTCATAACTTGACAAGAATTTATGATTGTTAAAATTGTGTGGCAGTGCTTTATTATTTAAAATGTCTCTATTTATCTAATTTCACCTGTTAATGTAATTCTGCTTAGCATGTTGGAAATGTATTTTGACCAGGAGTTCTCACCAGAAGTCTGTTATAACATTTCCAACAGCACTCCAGTCGTTTTGATAGTTTGCCTAACCTCATTTATTATCTTTTTTTTTTTTAACAGGACACAAAGAATCTCCGCCTAAATAGTCGGCTGCAAGCAACAATGGTAAGTGTCAAGATACTTTCAAGTGAACAAAAAGAAACAGAGGGTATGTTTCAGTCACATTTGTTTTGATCTTGCACCACAGGTATGGAGAGATCATGAGCTGAGATGGAACACATCTGTCTACAAGTATGATGAAGTGGCCCTGCCGGTAGATAAAGTCTGGACCCCAGAGATCCGTGTAACAAATGGGTAAGTCAGTCACACAGCAGAAGAGCTTCCAGCTACTATCACAAATTCACTTCATGGACAGGTTGATCTGACACATCTGTCGTCTCTCATGCGTGTAGGATACAAACAACCATGAAGCACAGCTCCCGTGATCTGCTGGTGTACAGTAACGGCACCCTGAAGCACACCGTGATCATAAACGCTGAGGTGAACTGTGAAGTCAATCTGTTCAACTATCCCTTCGCTGCTGATGAATGTCCTGTCGCAATCCAAACCTGGGCCGCTGGCGGTGAGCTCAGCACGTCACTTATACAAATATCAATACAATATTCCATTGAAGATTTGAAGTGAGAATTTCCTGATTTTGTATATTTTTAGATTTTTAAATATTAATATGCTCTTCCCTTACTTTGATTTATCTTCCTTGGTGTTTTTTTTTGTTTGTTTGTTTGTTTTTGGGGTTTTTTGCAGTTAAATTTGAAAAAATCTGATAATAATTATATATTACATGTCTTTTAGTGTCTCATTCATAATTTTGCCCAGAGAAAAAAACAAGTGTGACTGCAGCCCCTCTTGCACCAAACTCACTCTTAATTTATCTCAATTAATGCATGTTTGTAGCTATTTATTTCCTGTCTGTACAAGTATTATGCAAAACAAACAAAAAAAAAAAACAATGTTAAAGAAGACTTCATTTCATTCAGAATGTGGTACAAAGCTGGTATTGGGTGAATTGAGGATGGTGGATGGTACCCACGGAGACTGGGAAACTGATCAGGTGGACTTCCAGCAACAAAGAGATGACCGCAATTACATCATGGTAAGTTCATAAACCTGAGAAATACGAATTTATTCTTAATGATTGACTAATTTTCTGGTATTAACCTAAAGGGATTTAACTTTTAAAAAGCCTGTGTGATTGTGACATGTCTGATGTGGTTAAAACTAGAGACGATTAGTCGATTCATGGTTAGTATTCGAACACAGCCACAGAGGATTCTGCAGAACATTTTTAAACGCTCAAAAGACAGTATTAGGTTTTTGTATTAGACTACCAGCATTTTGTATTAGACACATGTAGAAAATGAAGTGTTTACCACCATACTCCTCAGGTGTCACTGAGCATCAGATATGTCAACCCCTTCATTACATTATTGCTGCCCAGTATTCTGATCGTCTTGGCTGATGTTATCAGCTGCACCCTGCCGCTGGGAGGCGGTGAGCGCAACTCTTTCAAGGTCACCCTGGTGCTCAGCTTCACCATGTTCCTCATCATCCTCAATGAACAGCTCCCTGGGGACAGCAAGTGCAGCCCCATCATCCGTCAGTCAGCTCGCATGCATGTCACAAACACGCACACACACTCACAATACACAAACAGAATATATGAATGTCTAAAATGTATAACTCTGAGTCATTTAACCATCTCTGCTGCAGGGATCCACTTCTGTGCTTGTCTGGTGCTTTTGGTGTTCAGCATGCTGCTGTCTTTGGTGCTGACACGAGTGGCAAAAGATGGCCTCATTTCCTGCTGCTGGTCCAAAGGGCCAGTGCCAAAAAACACAGAAAACAAAGAGGAGAAAGAGGATGAGGGTGAGGAAGAGTTGACTGTTAAACAATTATGTGTTGAGTTTGTACTCCGATACCTTTGATACAGAGATGAGTTGTGTTTTGACTCTTGTTTTTGATAAAAAAAAGCGCTCCTATACACTCAGTCCCTCTCTATGGCTACTTCAATCCCTACAGAAGCCAAACCTGACATCAGTGTAATTCAGCTGAATGGTTCAGAGGAGGACAAACAAATGCTCAGAAAGGTGGTAAACTTCCTGGAAGCTTTTGAAGCCAAGGACAAGGAATCTGAGAGATATCAGAAGATTGCCAACACACTGGACAAGATATTTTTCTGGTTCTATCTGGTTTTTGGCGCTCTGTACTTTTGTGCCATGACTTATGTGATGGTAAAGTACAGATGTAAAGTTAACCATTTTGATTTCTGGTACTAATACAACTGATTAACTGTGTGTTATTGTGTATCTATCTATCTATACATACATATATATATATGTATATATATATATATATGTATTTTTTTTTTCCAACTGAGTCACAGCATATCAATTTATTGTATAAAACTGAGACACATAGCAAAGCCACGTTCCCTCAGCAAATACAATATATTAAATCCAATGAAAAGACATAATGGAGGGATGTAAAGGATACTGAATCTGCTCAACACTCATATTCCTTTGTTGCCACCTTGTGGTTGAATCATTTACTGCAGACAGACTGGTGACCTGATGCACTCCTCTGGGTACTCTTGACTTGGATCTGATGAAATTTTAACCAGCAGGACTTCAGCTTGAGTTGAATATTTCACAACTGTTTATGCCCACCAAAAAAACAAAGCTGCTTAAAGGCAGAACGCTTTCATTCTAATAACATAATGTTAGATTCAATTGCTAATGAACATAAACTAATGTTCTTAGTGGGCATGTTTATCTGTAGTAGTCAGGACGGAAGTTATAGTTGAATTATGACACTTTTAACCCGTGTTTTAATGTTTTTATTTAGAGTTGCTTGAACATATTCTTCACAATGTGCCACAAGTAAGATTAACATTTCAAAAATTATACAAAACTTTATTGTCCAAAACTATTTCCCAGAGAGTCCTGGGTAAGTGACCAGTTCATGTATAAAATTGGACCCAATTTTAAACACTTTTCCCAACCATACCATACAATGTCAATCATAACAAACTTTTTTTCTTTTAACAAAATAGAGTTAAAACACAACATCAAGCAGTGGTCTAACTATAAGGTCGACAACCTTGGTTTGATTAGCAGCCAAAATAAGGTAACACCTCAATCAATCTACATTTTCCCAAAATGTCCTTTTTACATTTATAGACCCTGCCTGAAGGGCTGAGCTGTTATGTGACAAAATCTCAAGCCAATGGGAATAATATCTCCTACATGTGAAACACATTTTAATCCTTTAATTTTTAGAAGTGCCCTTAATTCAGGACACTGTCTTGATTGAAAATCCTCCCATGTATCATGGATTTTAACATTACCCTCTTAATGTTAATATGTTTACAGTACTATGCACCTTAGTACTGGAATGAGGAGCAACACTATGGTTGTGTGTGTGAGATAGTTGTTTTGAATGAATGAAATATCTTGTTGTGATCTTGTGTTTATCTCATTTATTCTCTGGTCTCCCTTTCAAAAGACATCTTGAACCCAATAAGATTTACTAAATAAATAAAGCTTTCCTTGAACAGACAAACAAACAAACAAACAAACAAACAAACAAACTAACTACTGGCAGAAGAAATATAACTCTCCCTGAACTCTGCACTGATGCACTATCTAAATAAATGTATGACATTCAATCTCAAAAAACTATATTGTATTTTATTTGAATTTATAGAAAACTTTGGCAACTACTCTTGAATATATAAATCAGTGAATTCAGAAGAAACACATTCAAAACCCATACACCCTCAGAAAAGACCAGCCACCCACAGGAGTCAAGGTAAATACAATGTGTTCATCCAGTGTTGTTCTCCATCACACTGCAGATGCTTGTCACTTGTCCTCTTCAACTTCAAGGTCCCTCCGTTTTCTTCATTGCCTTTGATAAAAAATTAAAATAAAATCAATAAATATTCATGTAACAACTCATTAGACAAATAATGGAAGAAGGGGATTATGATTGCTATTCAAATACCTGTTTAAAAATCTGGACACCAAGGTAGTTCTTTGCCATGCTTGTCAAGTTGGAGCTTCCACCCACCTTGCATCTCACATAACCATACAAGTTGGCCCATTGTAAAACCAAGCCCAATATTACAACAGCCTGTGGGGCAAAATCACAAACAGGAAATGAGACATGAACCGACAATTAGCAGTTATTTAGACACACACTTGCACAGAATCTCTGAACTGACCAGCCATTTTATCCTGAAGGAGAAGATGGTGCTGAACACAAAGATGATCCAGAAGATAGGGCACACGATAAGTCCAAGCCAGAAGATCCGTGACTCAGCGCTGGATGTTCGGTTTGGACTGTGTGTCTGTTAACAAAAGTAAACAAGGTTTCATCATGACCAATGTTCCCATTGTGGCACATGATAGTTCTAAGAGAGAACAAAGCAGTTGTTTTATGTTACACTATCTTCAATTGTCTAACAGGGTCATGCGGCTACATTACAGGGTAAAAATGCTTAACAAAACTTACACTGACGCTAACAATACTGCAAAGTGCAGTCAGTATATGAAATTATAGATGCATGCACAATATCTTCCACAAACTGTAGACAGGGATACAGTCGGCTCTGTGTTACTTTAAATGTCCCTCTATTTACAGAGAATGCTATTACTTTACAGAAAGCCGGGGTTGTGTACTGTCATGGTCATGATTAATTGTCAAAAAGAAACATGATGAAGCCGTTAAGTTATCTTGTTTTTCTAACTGTGTGCCTTACATGTGAGAAACCTTTTATCTTGAGCTGAAAAGAATTCTGTGCAAATACCAGCAAGGCATTTTGGATGTACCTGATGAGCTTCCGCTTACCTTCCTTGACTCAAACACCCAGTGGCTCTTTCCATCTTCATCCACTTGATTCCACCACCGAAGGCCTACCAACAATCTGCCGGAGACGTTCTAAACAAAAAAACAAATTCATCTGTAAATGAAAACCGGGTACTTTGGTTTCTGCACTTGTCCATTTATTCACAAAAAAAGTAAATTAGAAAACCAAAACAAAAAACACAGACTTCATCCAACATGGGACCAAAAAAATACCAAATTGTAAAGTGATAGTAGGGTTTGAAACTGTCGGTCAGACAATTACAAAGGGAATGGGACACTTTATAAACTAAATTATTAATCAATGAATGAAGAAAATCATTGGTAGATTAATAAATAATGTAAATAATATTTAGTTGCAGCCTTAAATGTTACACAAGCACAGGGGTGCGGCAGTTAAAGTTAATATCATTTATTTCCATAGATAAAACATAACCTGCGCTGCTCACCTTGACGGTCCAGAAGTCACATGACAGCAGGAGGATGATGGTGACCATACAGGCAATGAAACGGCTGCTGATAATGTCGCATAACAAGTAGACCAAGATAGCACTTGTTCGAAAGAAGAGATGGAAAAATGAAGCCAGGGGTTGCCTGAAAGACAGATTATCGTTTTATTCTTCATAGTTTAAGTAAAACATTTGGTCAGAATAGAGGGCAGTTGGCTATGACCAGAAAAATGTAGCAAATCTCACCTAATTTTAGACTTTCTTAGCCTGCTGTGGTCGTCATCCTCACCAAAAAGAGGAGCGTCGTGAGAGTCCTGAAAACATTAGCAAGTTAACGCTAACGCTGCACACACCGAACTAAACACCTGTGTCCACGGCTTGGTTCGTAAGTCATGAGTATTTAAGTTTAAAATACTGACTAAGACAAAGATTGCATCATATACACACAAATATTCTGCTTTATACTGTCACAAAATCTAGTTTAGCACCGATTACCTGTCTCTGCATTTTGATTTTTAACACTTCACGATGTATTTCCTGGTGACGTGGTCGTAAACAAAACCGTGTGCTAAGGACCCCAGACCGGCGTGGCTTTAAAGTTGCCTGACTTAAAGGTAAGCCAAAATGAATGTCGCTTGTGATTATTGTAATAATTAATTACTTGTATTTTTGAATTGCAAGTTCTTTCAGATGCTTTGACAAAAGGTTTCTTCACTACGTTTGATCAACTGACTGTTTGCTAACTTTTTATGTTCATTAGGGAAATTATTTTTTATTACCTATCAATCTGCTGGTCACTTTCTTCACACAATAATAATTTATTGGCAACGGCAATTTTTTGGTACATTAGATCAGAAAATCGTGTATCATGGACATTTCAGTCTCTTAAAGCATGTTCAAAATGCCCAACAGTCAAACAAACATATTTAGTTTACTATAATGTAAGACTAAGATAAAAAAAAAATAAGAAAATATCAACATTTATAGGCTGGAACTAGGTACGGTTTGGAATATTTTCTTGAAAAATGATTTAAACAATTAATTGTTTATCAATATAGTTGCAGATTAATCAACCGACTAATTGGACAGTTTTGAAAAAAATCTAAAGTAGATTCCAGCCAGATGTTGCAGACTTGGTCTTTCAAAATACACTATTAGGTAGCAGTGGTAATAATGATAATAATAATAGTGATAATAATAATCGTAGTAGTTGGTGGCACAATAAATCATTCCCTTTCATTCAATATTTCATCTTATTTTATTGCTTCTCTTTATTTACTGCACATACAGGCTGACACATAAAAGTTCAAGATCAGCTTCACAATGGATTTTTTTTTCTTTCACTTTCTGAGATAACATTTTGAATAAATTGAATACGGGCTACAACATAACAAGAGACATCAAAATAAACAGGCTATAATATGATGAGAAACATCACATGATGATATTCGTCAGTCAGTATCTATGTCACAAACAGAGGGAAGTAACAATAAAACAAAGCATCATCATAACAAAGTACAATTTATACAAAACAGCTTTATAATGTCAAAGCAGTTGGCTGGACACGTTTGTTTGTCCTGTAGTGCTATGAGGTCAGATAAACCTCAAACAGACTGGCGACTGAATGCATGCGGTAAAAGATGCCAAATGGAAGTCCAACATTGACAACAGCAGCCCACATGTTGAAGTTGTAGAAATTAGTTTCGGTGTCATGGTCAAACTGGGGACGAGCGCCGAATGCTGGCATGATCCACAGCTGTCAAAGACGGAAACAAGAGAACAGGTTGAGTATTTGGTCAATTTTCAAACAGTGAATTTCAGGCAGTGAGGGAGAATGGTACTCACTATGATGTTGCCCATCAGTAGGAACGCACAGACCTCCTTCAACACTCGTCTCTTCCATGACAGTCTGGGTCTGTGCTCAGCTGAGTGGCCATGCAGGGTGTGCTCTGTGAGTACTGGGCTTGGCTTTGTGTCCATGTTTGATCCTTCAAGGCTGCTCAGATCTTTGTCTGGCTGCAGCACGTATGGATTTGCAACCACAGTGATTGGGTGCACCTCGTGGAAGGGCTCCCGATGGAGACCTTCGATTATGAAAAAGTTCTGCAGGCCGAGCTGGATCACCATCAGGATAGCCCAGGCCAGGTTTAGTCTGTTTAAATGGCCTTTTGCTCCAGTTCCAATCATTGCTACTATGGTGAAATAGCTGATGATAAATTGTCCCAGTGAGGCTCCCACCAGCAGCCCCACATCTAGACTGCGTGTGGGGTTTTTCTCTGATACATGTTCCCTGTGGTCCACCTTGTAGACAGCGCAGCCAATCACGGTGGAAACTGACATCGTGGTAACTATGACTATATTCATGACAAAGTGCATCATCACTGCTTTGTCTTTCTTGTAATCGTCATCATCTTTTTTTTTCATTTCCATCTCATATGCGATGAAGGTTGCCAGACCTGCCACCACTAAGAGAACTCCCATGACTGGACCCAGAAATACATCCTTCAGGTGGAATTTGATTTTGTGGTGGGGGTGTTCATCTGCTACTCGACTTACATTTTTCCACATGACATAGGCCATGGCAGAGGCAAAGAGACTGTACTCAATATTGAAGGGGTACAGGTAGTAGTAGGCTTCCTTGAAGATGCTACATGAAGTGTGGCTGCACTTGCACTTATCGTCTCCATAACCTGCTGTTATACATGACAGGGCACATGAAGAGAGAAAAGTATTAGGTTGTGGTAATTTTATTGATTTATTGAGTCTACTTTGATCGCTAAATCTACTTTAATTACCTCTACTGATGTACAGGTTTCGTCCGGAGAGTTTAGTGTCATTGCTTGGATAGTCGGGAACAGTTGTTTGGTGAACGGACTCCTCAGTGACTGCTGTCATCCACACAACCAGATTTGTGGAGAGGGTGAGCATCAGCCCACAGCTGGATAAAAGATGAGGGAAACAATGATTAGAGGCCATAACAGCAGCAATAAACATGATCTGCTTTACCAGGCCGTGTGCCATAGTGTCAACATTTAATGTCACATGTAATAATAATCTGTTTTTTTATTTTATTTGGTTTTCAAACCGAAGCTGGTGAGCTTGTGATTTTAGGGCTAAAACAATTTGTTCATCAATTGATGAAATCGGCGACAATTTTGCTAACTGATTATTTAAGTCATGTTTTTTTAGCAAAATCCCAAAAAATATATTGGTCTCAGCTTCGGCAAATTTGAATATTTGCTGGTCACCTTAGTTCCCTATATTAACAAACTGAACACCTTTAAGTTTTCAAATGTTCATCAGAATTAACATTTTATGATCATTTATAAACCAAATGATGAGTTGATTTATTGAGAAAATAATCGCCAGATTAATGCATAATGAAAATGATTACTGGTTGCAGCCCAGTTTACTCTAATAAGAATAAAATAATAATTGCACCTTTTCAAATGAGGAGAAATTTCAGTTTTTAGCAATGAAACAATGTCAGTCCTGTAGCAGAAACTTAAATATAAAAATGCTCTCAATTGCTCATCTTATGTTACAGGAGAAGAATTAATTCTAAGTATCAAAATTAATGCCCTCAGGTGCCGTATGTTTACAAAGACAGAAGGATGAGAAAAAGAGGAAGGAAAATGTTTAATCACCTACCGTGTAATGTTCTTTTGTAGCTGCACACAGTCCTTGGCGTGGATGCAAAAGAAGTATGTCTGCAAATTGATTTCAGAATTATATAAATATCTTACAACCATAAAGACTCAAGTCTAAAATGTAACCTGTGTAGCATGTTGGCATTTTTAGGCATTTTTACCTGCACAAGTAAGAAAACAAGTTGCACCACAGGGAACGCAACCTTCACAGCAGAATCACAGTGGAGGTAGCCCACATAGCTGGCTATCTTGAAAATGTCCATGATAATACTGAGCAGTCCAAATAGCACAAGTCCTCCTGAAGGAAAAAGAACATGTAGAACAGGGTTTTTTTTTTTTTTAAACGTTCAAAATTGCTCTGTAAATAAAGCTCAATTCTAAAGCAAGTGGAACATTTACTTACCCTTGAGCCATACCGGTCCAGCATGGGCATCCTGATAAACAACAGCATTTTCTTTCCTGGTTGTGTAGGTGATGTAATAAATCATCCAGATGGAGGTGAGGAGGAGGAGGATAATAAGATAAATCTGCACATGATAGATTTTGATGTTTACATCGTTGTGAGCGCTGCCACTGGCCAAGGCGCAGCCCAGGATCAGAATGTTTACACAGATGATTCCAGAAAGCATCCATCCCCAGTTTCGCTCCCTCTCCCTCACGACTCCACTGGAGGAGATGTCCAGGTCGGGTTCGGATGTGTTCTCCGCTCGACTCGGTGTGTTGATGTTGTTGGAGAGGTGGACTTCCTCCGTCTCCCTGTCTTTGGCTGTCATCCTGCATGGTTCACAGGGATTGCCATCGGTCAGGCAGTTGCAGGGATGGCCGGTGTTCAAACACATGATTCTTCTCGCAAAGATCTATTCACAAATGAGTTGTTTGTTTGAATCTGGCTGCATGTGAGACATTACAGGTTTAACAGCTACACCCACTCTCTGCCTTCCTTTAAAGCCAGTTCCCGCCCAAGTGAAACTTTTCCATGGGCGACAAATCAGCATAATTGTCACCCTGTAGGTGCTACACAAAAGAGCAGTTTCAAATCAACAAATGGTATTTAATTTCCTCTTCTTGTGGCTCCTATTTTGGCAGCAAATGCATGTTAACAATGTACTGAATAATAATTCACAATCATGTTTATGTAGAAAGTCATCTACACTATCCTTCTCCGTCTCTGATAAAATCAGGAATAACAGGAAAATTTAAATAGCTTTATAATAATATAAGAATAGCTCCTATTGTTTAGCAAAATTGAGCTTTTATTCTCAGTGACCTTCTAATAATAAAGGAAAGGTTTCAGGATACCTGTAAGCCTACCTGGTGTAGTGTGATCCTGAGAAACATGCTGAAGCGTCATGGCTTTTATATGCCTCCAAAAACACAGTGGTTTACTGTACAAAGAGTCATAAATGTCAATAAATCTGTTATGAACAACACCATATTATTACCAAACACAGTGTGTTTTGCACAAAATATTAATGTAAAGTTCAAAAGATGTTTCCAGGAAAACCCTTTTCTGACCAATTCATAATACAAGAAACCGGTTCCTTTCCAGATAAACAGCAGTTTTTTTGATTTTGTACAAATAGATTTTTAATGGCAGTCACTTTAAAAGAAAAAAAAGTTTTAGCTGCATGCACAAAAGAAATGCTGATGTTGCTTAATGTTAAACAAAAACTGTATGTGACATTAAGCATCAAAAACATTTTTTAATTATCATTTTGTCTTCATAGAAAATGTGTAGGTTTGATATGTTCTGCTGTCTTTGTCTTTGTATTCATCTTAAGCCCGGTCTTTAGCTGCAGCTGACCACATGCCATCATGCATTACAATCTAAATTCGATCTAAATTCTCTAAGGAGGTGTAGCACGCCGTTATTTGCCTATCTTTTTTGGTTCACTGCTTGAAGGGAATACTTTCAGCTCTTTAATGCTATTCATGGCTCATTGAAGAGATGTGCCCCTGTATCTTCTCACAGCAAAGTGCCTGAGGTGGAGTACATGAAAAGCCTGGCCACTATCTCTGCCTATTGTTATGGAAGTTTCAGCTGGGTTGTATGTCTGACACCTTCATTCTCTGAGGCACTAGTTGGACTGTACTTATTTTAGATCAGTGGGCAAAATTATAGCCGTTTCATCAGGGTGGGGCTGACAGCAGAGGTACTTTTTTTATTGCAACACTCCATCATTGTCACGTTGATTAGTAAATCTTACTAGTGACGTGAAGTTCACAGTGATAACAATGGTTTACTGAAAAGAACAAGGAAAAACAATGTCACCACAGTGCTTCAGATTCTTCCCCATGTGTTATTCACATGGGGAAGGAACTGAGTAACACCTCTCCAGTAATAGTTTTACTTGACTGTCGGTATACTCCTCATTTCCTGAACAAGTTTATGCAGCTCTGCAACTTGGGTGCAGCAATTGGTTTTGGCTTGATGTTTCTTCCAGTGTGATGATGAATGAATTTGAAAGAGTGACAGAAAGTTGTTGAAATCTTTTCTGATTTAATCACATACAAATGTAAATGTTCTACCAGATCAACCACAGAGGAGCATATAGATATATCATTTTAAAAACCATTAAAATCTATATCTGCTGAAAACAGCTTGATCTACATACTGTTATAAATATAAATATAAAGTGAGTGTGTATCACTATAACAAAGGATAATATATTTTAGAGTCATTACTGAGACTCTCAGACATACAGGCACAGGCAGGAGATCATAAACAAATAGACACGTGCCGTTGAAGTCTCAGTAGGAATGTTACAGGAATAGAGACATCAGTAATAACTGATCTGGTGGGTGCATTCAGTTATTACACCCCTTTCCCTCAGATTACTTTTAATGTGACTGTTTTGTGGAGTTTGCTGTTAGGGTCCCCAGCCTGTTTTGGATCACATCGGCCACCGGGAGCACTATTCCCCACGCCGTGGACATCGTGTCGTCCCTGGATACCGGCGACGCTGCTCCACTGATCAGGAGGAAACTCACTCTGGGGAAACGGTGGGACAAACGGGCGCTACAGCCGCTCTGTGCCCACCACTGTGCCCACATGACGACGACGACGACGACGATGGTGGTGTTGGTGTTAATGAAGCGGAATGGAGTCGAGCAGGGTGGACTAATTCTGCACCATGAATGACAGGTACCACAAGGCGGCCCGGGACGGCTACCTGGACCTGCTGAAGGAGGCAACTCGGAAGGATCTCAACGCTCCGGATGAGGATGGCATGACACCGACGTTATGGGCTACTTATCACGGCAACCTGGAGGCTCTGCGGCTCATCGTGGCGAGGGGGTGGGTATAGAAAGTTTATGACTTAATGAGAACGTGTGCGGAAAACTTTAACGTGACTCATAAATGTCCATTTCAGTCATTTTGGGAAGGAACACACCGCTAGAACAAAAATGAACAATTTTACCACTTTCCCTTGTTATTTTTTTCAGTATCAGATTATGTAGAATATGTCAAATAATGATCTTATTTCAAGTACCTCGCTTAAAATAAGTAATATTTTAATACTGGAACTACTTAAAGACATTTTTGCGCTTGAATCGTTAGGAAATCCTTCTACTAGTTAGTATCACTAACAATGTAGGTTATCTCTCACAGTGTGCAGCAGTAATTTGAGTCTAACTAGTCAAGGAAAAGAAGAGGCCTTGACATAGTGCAAAAACATTCACCCCAGGCTGTGCTCCTGGCTAAAAAGAAGCACAGTTTGAAATAAATAACCTGTTCGGTAACTATTTAGTTATACTATTTAGTCAGGTCTGAAAAGTCCAGGTGTTGGGTTAGACACTGTATTTTAAAATGAAGAGTATTTCTGGAATTGCAGGAGCAAAGATTAAACTCACTAGATTTTGGCAGGTCTGTATCCAAAAATCCTCCTGTTGAGGTTTTCCAGTATGGTGATAGCTCTGTAACCACCTTCTAGGGGCCATATATACTTATATAAGATAGTTTGTCATTTTCAAAGTTATATAGGACTATTGATTCTGTAAACAATGAACGCCTCCATTACATTTAAGATTGATGACACTGTTCAAGGTCAACTGATTAGTACAGCCGATGCTCAGCGGTCATTATTTATAAAAACAAGAGCATGATGGCCTATAAAATAGACAAAAAATATACTATACATTTGCCTAATAAAAGAGTACACACCATTATTTCAATAGGCTGCATCATGGCAGAAATATGATACACTAGTGTTTGATTTTTTATTTTTTATCATGAAATTGAAAATTTTTATTGGCTTTTAATTTCTTTTTTTTTTATCCATATCAACAATGGATACATGCTGTTTTAAGGAGAGATAGAATCAGCTGCTGTATGAAGACATGCCTCTCATCAACAAAATGTGCAAATGTGATTGCTATTCATGCACAGTTGAGAAGAGGAAACACACAAGCGCTCATTCCTCATCTTTTCTGGCTGACCTGGTTTGCATGCCAGCCAGAAAAATGGGCTCCATTATGAATCTGCTTCATTGAGTAAAGTGTGTAAGAGGCTTACGGTAAAAGTGAGACAACATTATTTATCAGTGTTCACTGAATGCAAAAATGTCAGCACTGAGGACAGACACATTTATTTTCACAGTTATCTTGAAGCAATGCCAGCAGCAAACCAACGCTTCCTGTGCTAGGTGATAATACTAAATTCACTATTTCCCACGGATTCAGTGCAAACAAGGCTCTGGATGCATTCAGGTGCCAAGGAAATAGCATTCCTGTACTGATAGCAGAAAACATAAACTCCTGATTGACAGGAGGTACTAAATTAAACATTAATAGCTGCCATAATGTGTCACACAGGCACCAGACTCGTGAGACCCCGGGATATATTGAAGAGACGTTTAATGCTCCTTGATAATTTCATGGGAACGATGCCATGCTCTGCTATATTTGGCAAATATATTGCATTTGGCGACCTGCAGTGACATCAAGCTGTCATAGGAGGTGAAGATGCAAACAGCCCATAATGTGATAAGAAACAGGGCAGGGATAAGTTAGCAGCCCTATCACAGCTGCGGTCAACATTTTACTGGTACATACATAAATTATGACACATAAAGCTATCATGTTCGATGGTCCCAACCACTGACAAGCATATTGTATAATCTTCAGTTCAGGAGGTGATAAATGTTTCCTCTCAACATAAAAATAGAACATAGCTAATTGCTGTTTATCTTTTCACATCAATTTATAGCATTTTATGGCACTATTATATGTCCCTCCATCTATTTTCGCCAAGGGTTAACAGTGTAATTCCTTTGTTTGATCATTGTTTTATTGTCTTTTTCTGGGCTGTTTGCCACCTGCACTCCATCATGCTCACTGATGACAACCTTACACAAGCAACCTGTGACCCTAAAACTTCTTTCTCTCTCTAATTTTTTAAACCCAATTCTGTCTAGATGAAAAAAGGAAAGAAAGCAGGGGCCTGAAATCAGAGTGGGACTTTGCCAATCGCTGCCCAGGTTGGGTCCAGCAGATCTGATACACGTTCCCTGTGAAAACCTTACAACGCAATGCATCAATAATAAATCTGCACTTCGACAGTCGCTTCACGTCCATCGCATCAAATATTTAGCAGTCTGTACGTGGCAACATTGGAGGATGGAGACAAGACTTAAGACAGTTCAGTAAACATGTAAATTTAGGCAGTGCGATGCCAACTAGAGGACTGAGCTGAAAAAAATAGAAGCACACATTTTAAGTTAAAATTGTATCACCAATATTTTGTTGCAGTGGCCACAAACAAGCTGTAAATCATGAATAAATCCTAGTGATGCATAACGGAATATTAGACTGGACAAAATTTTAATGATGAGCGAACAAACGAGCCGTCTTACTGATTTGGAATTCAGGCTTATGATGGGAAATTAAAGTACAAAAAGCAGCATACACATCTGTTCTTCATACCACCCATCCAGCTGTAGCACTGTATGTTTTGACTTGAGGAATTCAGTGTGACATCACCAGCCATGCACAATTGTGCTTTTTGAGTCAGGCGTAACCTATTCGGCCTCCCCTGAAACTAGATACAGGCAGTGTAGCAGTGGTACTGGGAAGCCTGTGGTCGTATTACAGGCCGACAGCAACAGTGCAGCACACGTAGAGGTAACCTTAAGGTCGAGGACTGTCAGCCAAGGGTAAATATTGCTTATAATTTTAGGTATGGCCCTGCATAATAGTACATTCCCTGTGTAGCATCCTTTTGATAAAACCTTCCTATTTGTCAGTTGGTCAGAGATTTTAAAAAAAGGTAGCTGCCTATAGAAGATCTATGTTTGGTTTTCTAAAAAGGTAATGTGGTGTTTAGACTATAAATTATTAACCAAGGCTCCATTAATAACCCACGGATGGCAGGTCAGTGCTGAAAACGTAATCAAAACATCACATGCTTACTCATGAATGAATCATCTAAACAGCAGACCAAGGAGGCAGCCTTTATCCATAATCTTTCTCACAGTCAGAACAGGGATGAAAATATTTATTTAGCCAATCTGATACATGTTCTCAGAGTTTAAAGTTTGTATGTGATATGTTTCTCATGACCCCGCAGGGGAAACCCTGACAAGTGTGACATATGGGGGAACACGCCACTCCACCTGGCAGCTGCCAATGGTCACCTCAGCTGCCTTTTCTTCCTGGTGTCTTTTGGTGCCAACATATGGTGCCTGGACAACGACTACCACACGCCGTTGGACATGGCTGCCACAAAGAATCACATGGATTGCGTCCGCTACCTAGATTCCATCGCATCCAAGCAGACAGGCCTCAATCCCAAGCTGGTCAGCAAGCTGAAGGACCGGGCATTTCGTGATGCCGAGCGACGGATCAAAGAATGCGTGAAGATGCAGAAGAAACACCACAAACGCATGGAGCGAAAGTTTCACAAGGAGGCTTCTGAGGCTTCTGCGTCAGATGTTATGAGTTTTTCCAGTTACACCAGCAGCTCTCTTAGCCACAAGCTGCGCAACTTCAATGCAGCAACCGTCAGTGTGCCATATTCTCAGGTCAGGAGTCTTCTTAACTGCATAATTTAGCAAGACTGCTAAATACCACCATGGTGACAGACAATGCTAACAAAGTGTAGTTTTTTCAAACTTCACCTTCTTAGCTACAACGTAACTAACAAAATTTAATGGAAATTTTGGTGATGGTGATGGTGTTAGAAGAAAAGTTATTACAATTCGTCATCTGGCAACCATGAATATATGTTCAAAATTTCATGTCAATACATCCAGAATTTGTCAAGATATTTTAGTCTGGAGCAAAGTGGTCAACTGACCAACTGATCAACAGACCATCGCTACCATCCTTAACACCATGCTGCTTCCATGGCTAAGAATTTCATAGCACATGTCATACGAAACCAGTAGCTATGTGAAAAGTATCAAAAACATATGAATCAGTCTTAAAGCTTCTAAAATTGCTCTGTGATAAAGTAAGAAATACACTGTCTTTATGAATATTTCTTGTTTTATTCCTGTCCTTTTAGGCTACTCTCCATGCCACAAACCGAGGGAAGACAAAGATCCAGAAGAAGCTAGAGAGGAGGAAACAAGGAGATGGGACCTTTAAAATCTATGAAGATGGAAGGAAGAGTGTGCGCTCCCTCTCTGGACTTCAGCTGGGCAATGATGTCATGTTTGTCAAACAGGGGACATATGTAAACCCAAAGGACCGTGGTCGCCGCAATGTTCGTGACATGTTCCCCAGAGACAATGATGATGCCATTTCACGTGCCATGAGCGAGCCGGACCTCCACGGTCCCGATGTGGACTATTCTGAGATCAGCACCGACTCTGGACATGATTCTCTGTTCAACCGGCCCGGTCTGGGCACCATGGTCTTTAGGAGGAACTACGTGAGTGGGGGGATGTTTGACCTTGGTGGTCGGGACGAGGCAAGTGTGGACCGGTCAGGCAATAATGTGCGTTTACGCAGTCGGCTGCAGCAATACCCGAGTCTGGATGCAGACAGCATTGGCAGCGCACGCAGCCTACAGGAGAGGAATGTGGAGGACCTGCCTTGGGAAGAAGTAGAATTAGGGCTGGACGATGATGATGAGCCTGAAACGAGCCCTCTGGAAGTTTTCCTAGCCACACAAAGCATGAGTGAGTTTTTCTCCATCTTCAAGAGGGAGAAGATTGACCTAGAAGCGCTGTTGCTGTGCTCTGACCATGACCTTAAGAGTATCCACATCCCCTTAGGACCGAGGAAAAAGATCTTAGATGCGTGTAAAAGACGGCTGGAGAGCATAGAGGACCCGGACTGCATCGAGGACACAGAACTGTGAGTGCTGAGATTTTCATTGAGATTGCAGTTTAGTAAGGAAGTATTTGAGCAATGACATATTGTTTGTTATGTTGTCTCTGTTCTCCCGCGCATTGGATTTGATATGAAACAATAAATGTTGGGGAGTGCCAACTTTCAATTTGAATTTGAGTATGTCCACATCAGACACATCATCGCATCAGTGGGGGGGTCAACATTTTCTCTGGAGCAAAAGGGAACCCAGTACAGTGTGTCAGTGAACTGAAGTGTTACAGTCTTTACAGTACCTTGCTTGATTAACTAAAACTGAATGTAATGGAGTAGAAAGAACAATATTACCCTTTGAAATGTATTTGAGTTGAAGTATAAATTAGAATAAAACTGAATTCCTGAGTGAATACAAAGGGGGTGACTACTATAGAAGCTAAAACCAAACAGGTAAAAGACTAAACCACCACAGCCACACAGAAGATTATTAGAATGAAATAATAAACTCTGTATTGGTGTCAGAACATACCTCTACAACAGAGTACCAGTGTTTGCTAACATTAGATAATATATGACATTTTGGTTTTGAAACACCAAGCCAACATTGGAAACGAAAGGCCACGCCATCAGCTAGCAAACACAAGTTAGCTGAACTGTAACTTAAGGCAAAATTTTGCCGCTAGCTAATATTTGCATTCATCAGATACTTGACACAATTTAATTCAGACATTCTGAAGGTAGGAAAGTAAAGTGTATTAAACAAACTAGAGAGTTAACCACTGCTACTTACATTTACCTACACTGTCACCCAACACACAGGAGCTAGACATGAGGAATGAGGGCGGAGTCACAGATGGAGTGAGGCAGACAGACGAGACGTTAACTTACATCAAAGTTAAGAAATGGTACGGTGCACTTTAAGGGTGTCTGAAATCATACTACATCATTCTTCCAGGCATGAATATGGGAAATATATCATAATATATACATTTACAGGTAAGTAGGATATATAAATGTTTAAACCCCCCGGACTGTTGTTTTTACCTCTTTTTTAAAATGCTTGCTTGGTCTGTATATTTACTCTCATTGTCCTGCTGCATGATACTAAAGCTTGAGTACAGTATATAAGAATTGGCTATGATTCCTAATCTGTTCACTAAGTATGGATGTGAGCATCCTCAAACACTCTTTTGAGCTAAAATGTCAGCATTATAACCTCATAGTGTTTAATTTTAAATCCAATGTGCCGCAGTTGAGCCAAGAAATAAAAAAAGAAGTAACACTCCAAATGTTTATAGACTGCACTGCATTATTGCTGTTGAGATGTAGCCACTGGGGAAATGTGTTGTTTAAAGAAATCTTCTTCAGTTACAAACATGGATTCTCTTGTTTTCATTCTATCCTGCAGATAATAAAAGTTGTTGTAGACTGTCCTCCTGCTGTGCGCTCATCCAGCCTTAAAGGTCAGTGGAGCATTGTTGAGCGAATGTCACGTACGGACAGGGAGGACTTCATGATTCACCTCTCCTGGTAGCTCAGTGGTAACAAAGCAGAAAGGATACCGTCAAGATCAATATGTCAAGCAAGAGGAGACGAACGTGAGATAAATTCTTAACAGGATTCTTGTACAGCGTCTTGTGAGCCTTGGGAGGATCACTGAAAATATCTGTGTATGATGGTTGGTTGGACTCCCCTGCACTGCATGGTTTAACAAACTGAAAGACAATCATCAGAGTGTAGTGCTGTGCAGTGTCATTGTATGCCACATGGCAGAGTTAACAAAGAGTTGATTGTGGGGTCTGTGTCCCCTGAATGTGTTCGCCCCTGTGGGGTAAGTCCTACCACCTCATGTGCCTGCATTGCTTGCGCCTATGCATTTGTTTAAAAGTGTCTTCTGTCATAAAAATCATTGACATTAACTTCATCATAACTTTCCAAGTATCTTTTTGCAATAACAACATTTTGAGCAACATTTTCACTCCACCTTTCATCTCTGTACACGTTTACATATAGGAAGCCATGTCAGTCCAAGTGTGGCTCACTGGCAATGCAGGCCAACTGTTCACTGATATCACTGTACTGATTTACTGTAGTGTTGTAAACTATGTGAAAACACAGCATCTTTAGATTATTTTATAATGCACAATATAACATATAGTTTATTTTGAATGTTCAGTCCATGTATAATTATAAACCTTTGTATATCACTCATGTCATTCTTGATAACATGACAGTCTTCCAACAATTTGTATCTTGAGTAATTTTTTAAATAATATACATCTACAGCACAGCATATGTCAATGTTTACTATCGCAACTTTTTAACATTTTAAGTGGGATTTTAAATAAAAATACTAATGTTTTTAATGTTGTAAATTACTTAACTGAGGAATCCATATACTTTGCTCTCCTTTCGCCATATACACTACTTATTATATTTCATCAGCAGAGAGGCTCAAATTGAAGATATGCAGAGTACACTGTAAGATGTTCCTTTATAACGGTCGCAGCTTCCATTAGGAACACTAAGGTTGTGTCCTAATAGTCCTTTTTCTTCGTCTTTGACACAAAGAGAACTTTACATTTTACAATTATACACATATTATACATAATGGATGTTAGAGGGCTGGTTCTGATGTTTCTTAAACTTAATATTTTTGTACTAATATTTTTTATGATTTTGTAACTTCCACCAGAATTACATACATGTGAACATGTGTACAGGAGGCTCTGAAACATTTCGACCATAATGTGGAGATTGATTGGAAGCTACTTAAAATTTAGATGAGTGGGATTCTGCTGTGAAAATTTGCCTCAGTATTTCTAAATCTCAACTGTAAAGCTATAAAGTATATAAATTCTTACTCATTAGTGTACCAAAGTTAAACTGAGATCCTTCCTCTGCATTGTGTAACCAACATTTACAATATTTTACAGGTCAATGAACATCCTGTCTCAGCCGTTACCTGTTTACAAAGACATAACTTTAAGCTTCTGCCGAGACTTTGGTGTGTGTGTGTGTGTGTGTGCAACTGTGTGAGAGAGACAGACACAAAGAGTGGAAAATATTTGTTTTGGCATCTTCAGCCACAGTGATAATCCTCACATTCTGCTCACACATACACTAAATTCAAGTGTCATTGTTTCCTCTGTTCTGCATGGCATGAAATCAGGAAGTTGTACTCTAGATAAGTGGCGTTGTCTGGAAGTTCAGTGACTCTGACATGACGTTGTTATCAAAAGGAAACACAATTAGACTTCACTAGAAGGTTTAACAGCACTAAGTGTCCCAGTGCAAAACTAATTTGTGACATTGTCAGTTAGACCACTATCATTGTCTTATTGGAAACAGAACCAAGATGCTATTCTAACTTTACCCGACAATGTAAAATCAGTAAACACATCAGGTCTTTAACTTGGACAAAATAAAAGACAGGATGTTCATTCCCCTCCCCAGCTGCATAATACACTCGTCATTTCCTCCTCATATCTTTGCGATCTGGTGTGTGTCTTCAGCTTAGTGAGGCTGAGTACAAGGCGAAGAGGAGAGTAAAACGGGAGGGGTGAAAATGCTGGCTGGGAACAAAATTCCTTAGGCGTGGTTTTAAATTCTTTCCTTGCGCACTCTTAGGGTCTTTCGATAAAAAAAAAAGGCAGGAAAAAGCAGCAATAAGTGAGGAGCAGTAATAATTAGTCTTGTGACCGCCTAAAGGTCAACCAAATCAGATCAAGGGTGACTAGAGGGAACACTCTGAAACATGGCAACTCTCAGCAGTAACAGCGAGGAGAATTTGAACGAGGTTCAACACAATGCCAGCGTGAAAGAGGAACCGGAGGATCCTACCATTCAGACATCTGACATTCTGCTCTCTCAAGATGTGTTGTGTGACTCCTGCATGGACAGCCCCAGCAAGGCCCTAAAATCCTGCCTGACCTGTCTGGTTTCTTACTGTGAGGCCCATCTCAGACCCCATCTGGAGAACATCAAATTTCAGAACCACCGCCTGGTGGATCCCCGCCATGACATCGACTGCCGGACTTGTGAGGTTCATCAGCTTCCCCTCGAACGCTTCTGTCTGACGGACGGCTGCTGTGTGTGTCTGGACTGCGAGAGCCAGGAGCATGAAGGGCACACAATTGCATCCGTAGGGGTGGCATGTGCACAGATTGAGGTCTCAAAGACACACAAATACACACAGTGCAATTTATTCAACACATTTAATATTGTGGAATTGATATTTTGGCAAATTTGCTTTAATTGTTTTAAACAGCTTCTCTCCTTTCATCTCAAATGTGCAAAATATTCATTGAGAATATGTCAGTAATGGTCTTGCATTGGTTCCTAACACGTAGTCTTATTTGAAAACCTGATGCAGCATCTCTTGTAGTCTTGTTTCTGATGATTGTTTGTAGGCTGAGATGCAGAAGAAACAAGAGGAGATCAGTCAGAGTACCTCAGCAGCTGAGAGAGCAATTGAAAAGCTGCAGAGCAACAATGACTTAATCAAGGTATGTTGCATAAACAAACATTTCACCATAACCTGTTTTCTGTGGATTGATTGAATTCAAAGTGGCCTGCTTCAAATATGCTATTCTAATTTCTTTATCATTTTCTACAATTATTTTGTTTCTTCTCCCTCTGGCCCTTCAGTCTTCAGTGCAGGAGATTTGTGTACTCGTTGAAGAGCAGTTTGCAAGGATGCAGGCAACTGTGGAGGAGGCCAGAAAAGGGGCCATGGAGGTGCTGGAGGGGGAGCAGAGACAAGCCCTCAGACAGGCAGAAGGCATCCAGGCACATCTGGAGCAGAAGAGAACAGGGCTGATGAAAACATTGGCTCAAATTAACAAAATGTCCAGGAGCAAGTCTGACATTGACTTCCTTCAGGTAGAAAATATGTGAAATATTTAAAATAATTATTTATAAGTAAAGAAATTGCATGACCTAGGAGGGTGCGAAGTCATTTTGGTCAAATGTTTCACATGATCTGGGATTAGGACAGAATGTTCTTTGAGTCAAAGAGTTTATTTTGGATTCCGCTGTATTGACAGTGTACACACAGCAGGCATTTCTGCTTTCTGGGTTATTTAACAAAAGAGTTTTTTCCTTGAATTTTTATTGGTGAAGCAAAACAAACACATAACCAATGATTTAACATAAATAGATAGACATTACAAAGCATCATATACATACTATACTACAGTGGGACAAGCATTACATTGAACAGAGACTAGGCCATAAGTTTAAAGGATGAGCTGATATGGTGTGTGGTTGAGGCGGAGTGATTGGGGACAGTGGGATTCTGCAGCTCAAGATAGTGGATATGTTCTCAGTTCCTGCTGTCCAAAGGGAGTGAATTGGTTGTCAGGCCCAAGTGTCATTAAAATAATCATCAGTGCTACCCACCCCTGTACCTCTGGCTTAGTGTATTGAATGATATGATAGGTTGTTGAATAGGTTTNGAGTGCAATGTGAACAGGTGTCTGTGTCAGCCAATCCCATTTTAAACATTTTATCTTTGGGTGATGAGGGTTTTGCTGATGGTTTTATATCGTACAAGTTGCAAGTTTGTGTTGGTGGTCATAGAGCAGATGTTTTTACAGATTTGTATCCAGAACTCGGGGGTTTGGAGAGAGAGAAGATTCAGTCATGTGGTAGGGAGTGTGACGGGGGTATGAGGGATGGATATAGGTTTATAAAGTTTTGAGAGGATCTTTGTTTTATGAGTTTGTTTTTTGAATGATTTTCATGATCTCAACACTTCACTCAGAAGGTTGTAGTGTGTTATTGGTTATGTTAACTTTTGAATAGATTATGGATTTTAATTGCTGGTATTGGAGGAAATGGTCTCTCCCACCCCTGTACCTCTGGATTAGTGTATTGAATGATATGATAGGTTGTTGAATAGGTTTTCGATGAGGGATCCCTTTTGTTGCTGTGATGGAAAGTAGACAGGGTTTGAAGTACAGTTAGAAGTCTGGACTGTGCCAAATTGGGGTGCACCTACAGGGTGTTAGTGATGATTTAGTGATTTGAGTGGTTTTCCACCAGGCTGTCAGAGTTGAGGTGATTGCGTTGTTCTTACAGTAATTCAGTTGCTTGATTGATTGTGGTAGGAAGGAAAGGAAGGAAGCAATTGAAGTAGTTTTACATTGATTTTGTTCCAGTTGTAGTCATGGGTTATTGTCGTTGTGCTTTCGGGTCCATTTGGATAAATATCGTAGATGATTTGCTATGAAGTAGCGGAGAAAGCTTGGCACTGGCCACTTTGTGATTTTCAATCGAAATCGAATTTCAATTTCGATTCTGGGTTTTTGGTTTTTGCGGTAATTAAGTTGTTAATGAGTCAAGTGCTTTGAACCATTTGTCAGTGGGGGTGGTGGGAAGCATTGAAAGCGAATAATTAATCTGAGGTAAGGTTTTCATTTTAACTGTCGCAAATGTCAATTTGCCCCATGAGAGTGAGCAGCAGCCTAGGAGAAATATTAATGCCTAAATATTTTATGCTGCTGGTGTGGAGTGGGGAAGGGGAGAATCTTGGTCTGTAGAATTCCAAGCATCTTCAGACAGTGGTAGTGAGATTGATTTGTTCCAGTTTATTGTGTAGTGTGAGATTGTGGAGAAGTTGTTAATGATGTTCTTATTGTAAGTGTAATAATAGACAGGCACATCTAGAGCAAAGGAGAACAGAGGTGATGAAAACGTTGGCTCAAATGAACAAAATGTCCTTGAGCAAGTCTGATGTTGACTTCCTGCAGGTACAAAACATACGAAATATTTAAAATAATTATTTATAAGCAGAGAAAATGCATTGCCTAGAAGGTTTGAAGCGTTTGAAGAGTCCTGGATCACCAGCTTCATTTCACATCATGACGCTTGATACATGTTACTATTCTTTTGCTTGTTCTAGGAGTACTCAGATTGGAAGAAAGGAGTGGCAGATGTACGTCTGCCCAATGTGTACGTCAACCGCATGGACTATCTAACCTCTTATGTCCAAGTAGTGACTGATGCTACACAGGAGCTGTGTGATCTGATTCTCTCCTCCTACAGGGACAAACTGAGCATGTTTTGTAAAGGTGGTGAGTGTATGTTATACTGGATACTTTGCCTTATATCATGTGGCTTGTCATGGCTCAGTTTTTGAATGTGTTTATGGATTTTCCAATTATCAAGTATTCAATACATTGCAGAAATCCTGACAAATGACCTCTTTTCAAAATTATTAAGTAGGTACTAAATTGACGATGCCAGAATCTCAACTTTCATCCCTGCCTGATCCTGAGACCCGAGAGGACTTTTTGAAATGTAAATAGACCAATATAATATGTTTAATAGAACCTGTTCATTTGACTTATCAGTTATTCACAACTTACATTTCCCCTATATTGTAGACACAAAGAGTTTGACCTTTGACCCAGACACCACGCATCATTTCCTGCGTGTAACAGAGGACAACAGAAAGCTCACCAACACCAGCCCCTGGCAGCACAGCTACCCAGACCACCCTGATCGTTTTGAGTACTGGCGGCAGGCGATGACTTCACAGAGCGTTTACTTGGGGAGGCACTACATTGAAGCAGAGCTGAGTGGGGAAGGTGCTCACGTGGGAGTCACATACAAGAGCATCGATCGTAAAGGAGAGCAGAGTGCCTGTTGCATCACCGGGAACGACTTTTCTTGGTGCATGGGGAGGAACAGCCGAGGTTTCTTTGCCTGGCATGCTGGTCTAGAGACGGCCTTGGAAGTTACTGATATCAAAAGAATTGGCCTATATGTTGACTTTCACCAAGGCTCTGTGTCTTTCTATGATGTAACTGGTCCTATGAGGCTGCTCCACAAGTACAAGGCTGATTTTATAGAGCCACTATATGTTACTGTCTGGCTGTCAAAGAAAGACAATGTCGTTTCTCTGGTTAATGAAAGATGATGCCTCTCCCCAGCTTTTATGAACAAATTACCAGCTGCCATCAATTTGAGCTTGTAAAAGAAAAATAGTGCGCTATAAATGTTTATTGAGGTTACATAACAAGGTGCATATATGGAGGATTTTTTCACATACATGTGACTGACACTTAAATTTACCACCACCTAGTGGTAACTCTGCAGCATGAACATAAGAAACGTGCAGCAGTAGGTGTTTTAGGATTTTACTGCTGCTTTACTGCAACTTTACTGCTCTTTAACGTGATATAAATGAGGAAACAACTGCCTGCCAACAATTCTTTTATTTGTCTTACAAGTTCATTTGGTTATTAAAATGCTTCAGTGTCATTTGTGTAAGATTATTTACATTGTTTATGAAGTGTGTGAAAAATCATCAAGTTAGTACAAAAGTACTTTGGAAAAGTTAATTGTATTCAACTTCAGGCATTAAAATCAGTTTCATTCTCATCAAAAACTGGATTTACAAAGTACACACCTGTCTGAGTCATGGAGATTGAATTATTAGTTTCAGTCCCAGACAATCCGGGAATATCAGACAGCATGTTGGGCTTGTCAAACATGGGGTTTTCAAATCCGTGGTCAAGAGGCCCACCAAGTTCTCCAATATCACCGTTTCTCTTCAAGCTGCTCAGAGATGGCATTGATGGCATTGATGGCATGGAAGGCATTGATGGCATTGAAGGCATTGATGGCATTGATGGCATTTGAACAATGCCCCTACGAATCAGGACAACTACTATGACAATGAGTGTAATCATAATAAAAACTCCAAACACAATTCCAACCACCATTCCTGCATTGCCTCCAGACTGATTGCTGCTGCTGCCAGTTGAGGCTTGAAATTCAGCCCCAGTGATTCCGAGGTTAGAGCCATGAGAGCGGGCATCCTTCACTATTTCCGAGGCGAGAGCTTCTGACTTTTTCCCCTTTTCTCCATCCAGAATAGCCACCTGGATCTCAGGTGAGGGACTGAAAGGGATGATCCCCATCAGACGTTGTGACTTGACAACTTTAGACATGCCCAGCTGGATGGATTTGTATTTTGGCTGGACGAGAAAAAGGTGATGGATCCGTTGCCTGTAACTCTGCAGGTTGAAACCAGGGGCATAATGGATAGTGATGATGGCACCACATACCTCACAGCAGTGTCCTATGGGGAGTAGAGGCATCTTACAGTTCATAGATGCACATGTTACACTGCTACAGATCCGCTGATGGTTTACAGAGTTCCCACACTCACAGCCAGAAGGATCCCCACACCCTGGGTTCCCAACAGTGACGGCAGAGGATCCGTGAAACTGCAGCCGACCTGAGCGTGAGCTTAGATACTGTGAAAACTCAGATTTGCTATCAAACTTCTTCCCTTGCACTGACACAGATTTTACAGGAATGCTAGACTGACTGGAGCTGGTGTCCACTCTGAAGGAGGAGAGGGCTTTAAAAACCACCTCATCATACTGGCAAGGGACACTCTCTTCATGGACTGAGAACAGGAAGTTTCCATGCTGCAGGTCATCCACAGTCGCAGCCGCCTGCCACAGAGCTGGGTTAAACCATTGCAGAGAGTCTGAATCTTTGAACTTGGTAGTCACACCTTGTCCGCAGCCTGGTTCTTGTCCTGCCAGAACATAAAATCCAGCTCCTGAATTCAGGATGAACTCTCCATCAACTGGCATCCTCATCTCCTGCACAGCATGCGTGGTCTCCACAAACACAGACACTTGTCTTTGGGCTGAAAACTGAACTATGTCATTGCCACATGGGACAGCTCCTTTGTCCCAATTGGTCTTATTCTCATAGTTGGTGTCAGGGATCCACTGTTTGTACAGGGCGTTCGCAGCCCCGACAAGACAGAAGAGAAGGAGCATGTCTGGTGTTTTCAGCATCTTGAATATTTGTGACAGACTGAGAGAACATTAGGTGACCTTTGTGTCCAACCTTGTGACTAACACATGAGTGCACCTAGCTTAACAGTAAATTTAATGAGTTCTGAACCTTGTCAACCTGTTCAAGCAGGTGACCTGTAAAAGATTTACTTTTTCACCAATAACAGACCTGCCTCTGCTTTAAGGCAACATTGTCTGCCTGTTACCAGAATATCCTGCGCAGAGAGTTCAGTGGTTATCCCGATGTGGGCTTTCTCCTATTCTCCTGTCTTTCCTTGTCTTTTCAGATTGCTCTGTCCAAATACTATGACTGCAGGGTACTGAAAACATTTCAAATTAAATTCCAAGTAAATGTTCAGGGATGCACTGGAAAAGGACAAATTCTTCTTGAAGGGCAACTTCTGGTCTTCCAAGATCTTCAATTCCTTGGTTAGCTACTTTGAAGACAGCCTGGAAACACATGTTTCATCTGTTCTTTGTTATTTCTACTATGAATTGTTTAATAAATCAGAAATCCCAACATGTAAAATCTATAAAAGTATAAAACCAACCTTCATTCTCAAAGTACTCAGTCAAGATCATAAATTGTTAAATGAACTTAACTATTACATCATAATATGCTGCAGAAATATTAACATTAATAACATTGCACAAAGAAATGCAGTTAAAAAGCATCAAAAAAATACCAGACTGGGTTTAAAATTGTTTGTTTTTTTTCCCTCTAGCTTCCACATAATTATTTTCACTCGGTATGATCTTAAACAATTCAGAGGTGAATAAATAAGAATTTTAGGATATTGCTTTTGAAAAAGTCATACATTTAGGAAGCAAATTGTTTTGCCTTATTTGTATGTTTTTTATTGGCTTTTCAAATGTCTTCCAGTCACCAGGACCAGGTTCTCACTCAGCAGAGACATCACTCAATAGTCTAATCCTACTTCTTGGACCAGGAGCTAGGATTATGCATAAAAACCTGAATTTCCTCTGAGGCAGTCTGTCACCTGTGGCAAAGTTGCATGCTATTAGAGATAAGTATGCTGCTTACATAGAATAACAATACAGTACGTGGCCAAACGGGAATGGATACGGAAGTGATGATCGGAACTATGCTGGAGGAGATGCTGTGGGGGCGGGGTGACAAATAAGGGGAACTGATTAGCCGAAACTCGCTACACCTGTTGCTCTTCGTTTATTACACCTTGTTCGATGCGCTATCTTCTTGTACAATGTGGCCTGCAGGAAGAGGAACGCTACTTACGAGATTTTCTGTTCTCCACCAGTGTCCCTTGTCTCCCCTTTGACCCCCATTGATGAATTTTAACGCGTCAAAGACTCCCAAGACCTGCCTTTGACGTTATCGTAGACAACAATCTTCATCTGGTCGACAGGACATCATGAAAACTGTAGCTCAGCAGATGTTCCGGACCTGCAACAAACTTTTCTCTAGGTAAATTTAGGCAACAGTGTAGAGCAACTATCTATGACTCTCAAATTATGTCTAGCTGCCCAATAAGCCTCTTATTTTGAAGGAATAGAGTGAACTTTAAAGTGCATTAACCCTGTAAAAGAAAAGACAAATTATATCAAAAATACATTTTCTATGGTACCCTTGTGAATTTTTATAGCACTTACTTTGATCTGTTATTCCTTTTGTGGGCTTATAAAAAATATCTTGTATTTCTCAGCTGGTAACCTGAGCATGTTTGGGATAATTGCTGTTTTACTGCAAGGATGACCTTTTGTAGAAAAACACCAAATGATGTTGTGGAGGCCCATCCATCCAACATAGAAACAGCAGCACAACTGGAAAACATCCAACATTTTCCCAGTCCTTCCCGTCCTCCCAGTTTGGAGGCTGTGAGAGAGGGTGCTGTCCACCATGTGGCAGTGGTGATAGAGAGGGCCCACCATGGTGGTGGATGGCTCCTGTCTGGCATAATCTGCATCAACATCCTGATCCTGGGCTGTGCTCTGGTCAGCGCCAGTGCCTCCAACAGCGTGGCCATTACTGCCGTGCACCAGCAAATCTTCCTCATCATTCTCATCCTCCTCACAATGTTGTGGATGCTGTTTTACACAGTCGTCACCTCTCGAAAGGATCAAGCAGTCTTGTTCAAAGACAGTCATGCAGGGCCTGTGTGGCTCAGAGGTGAGAACTCTCTTGGGGCCTCTGTTCTTTGAAGAATGTTCTTTCAAGACTTGATCACTTTGATTATATTTTATATTACAGTTGGACTTGTGCTGTTTGGCCTGCTCAGTCTGCTAATGGACATCTTCAAGATTGCCAACTATGTGGGCTACCTTCACTGCGACTCAGCTGTTAAAGTTGCTTTCCCTGTGGTGCAAGCTGTATTTTTGGTTGTCCAGGTTGTAGCATTTTAGGAACATTATGCTTATGTATTTTCATGAGCATGCAGTCGTATTTTCATTTTGGATGAGTATGGAAAACTCAATGACCCTGTCTGTTTTAGACATACTTCCTGTGGATTCATGCAAAGGATTGTGTGCAGCTGCACACAAATTTCACACGGTAAATTGTCTTTATTTATTACAGTCAATTCTTTACTCATTTGCTTTTAATCTTGCAGGACATGCTCATTGTTTCACTCTTTTTTCAGGTGTGGGCTTACCCTTACACTTTCAACTAACTTGGTGGTGTGGATGGCAGCAGTGACTGAAGAATCAATTCACCAAACTGAGATCCCTGATTTAAATTTCACTGTCTCACACAAGATGTACAGAGGTATCTTATTTTTTATTTATTTATTTTTTTATCACTTCTAATCAGATTCATTCATGGTCACTGTTAAGGGGGAAAAAAAACTCAATTGGTCTTTCCATTTCAGCTAGCTTTGGTGATAAGAAGTGTAAATGCAGCCACTCAGTGTGTGACACCTTCAAAGAGGCCTACTACTACCTGTACCCCTTCAACATAGAATACAGCCTCTTTGCTTCTGCCATGGCCTACATCATGTGGAAAAATGTGGGTCGACTTGTGGAGGATCACAGTCACCACAACGTTGAGTTCCGTCCAAAGGATGTGTGTTTAGGACCCTTAATGGGAATACTTCTGGTGGTGACAGGACTTGTTACATTTATAGTGTATGAGGTGTATATACTAGAAGAGGAGGAGGAGGAGAAGAAGAGAAACATGGCCTTGCTGATTCATTTTATCATGAATATAGTGATAGTGAGCCTGATGTCCCTCTCCGCTATGATCGGCTGCATTTTCTACAGGCTGGATCGCAGGGAGCACGTATCGGAGAAAAACCCCACTCGAAGTTTGGATATGGGGCTCCTGGTTGGAGCCTCGATGGGACAGTTCATCATCAGCTATTTCACTATTGTGGCTGAGGTGGCGACGGGAGCCAGAGGCTACCTGAACGCCCTCAACCTGGCCTGGGCTGTGCTGACGGTGCTTCAGCTCGGCCTTCAGAACTACTTCATCATTGAAGGCCTGCATCGGGAGCCCTTCCATGTGATGCAGGAAGCAGCTCTGCACACCAATGCTCACGCCTTCCAAGAACATGTAGAGATGAGCATTGTGATGGAGACCAATAAGTCTAGCTACTTCCCAACTTCAAGTTTTGTTAAGCCAAGTTGGAAGAGAAGAGTTCTGAAGGAAGTCTGTGCTTTTTTGCTGCTTTCTAACATCATTGTAAGTTGTATTTATGCTTATTTTTCTTATATTGCAACTCTAACTGCAACACAGTTTTCCTTTTGTCTTTCTTATTCACTTATTCTGTGTTGACAGCTGTGGATCATGCCTGCATTTGGTGCTCGTCCCCAGTTTGATCATCCCACAGAGATGCAATTCTACAAATTCACAATGTGGGCCGCTATTGTGAATATTGGACTTCCTTTTGGAATCTTCTACCGCATGCACTCAGTTGCTAGTCTGTTTGAGGTGTACCTAATCTCTTAGCTGAATCTATTTTTGAGTATGGAGAGCACTTTTGTGATAGCCTGTTTTATGTAATAAATGTTTAAGTTTAATTTCATATATAAATAAATTTTAACTTAAAAAAATAAATAAATCATGATGCACTAGTTATTAGCTTCCCCAACATTTAAATTCCCACATATAAATTTATATTTATAAAAGGTTTAATAATGTGCTGCAGTCTGAACATATTACAGGCGATTCCATTTACTTGTATAGTTATTGATGAGCTCCATAGTCCAAGGTTTGTTCATCTGATTATGTTCTGGTATTGAACTTTATAAACAGCAACAGTTGTGGCCTTAGAGCAGTGGTTCCCAATATTTTTAAACAAAGCAAAATGCTTGTGACCCCTTGTCAAAGGTTTTAACAAGGTATTCAGTGTTGTGTCCCCCCCCCCCCCCCCCCTTGTCTAAAATCATGAAGTTGTACTATTTATAGATGTATTTGTAGACCCCCTCAATATTTAGGCTATGTATTCCTGCAAAGAGATTTGAGAAAGTGTCAACTGGCTTTTAATTGTCAGTGTAAATGTGAGTGGAGCACTCTAGTGGTCATGGTGTAAAAGTGCAGCTTTCTTTTCACAGCATTTTTGTGGCTAAATTCCACAGATGAGCCCTCACAATAGTTGGGCAGTTAATATGGATATGTGTAGGTTTAACAGTGTTTGTGTGAACTAGGCGGGTGCTCACTGAGTAAATGGCACCTCTGAAGTATTTGTATTGCTTGAAAGTTGCACAGCAGTTAGTCTCCATTAAAGCACACAGTTCAGTAATGTGACTAATACAGACGCTTATGAATATATATTTTCAGGAAAATTTAAGGAAAATACAATTTTCAACATCAAGCATTGTAAGCATAAGCCAGCCAGATCTTAACTTAAACCTGGCCATATACATCAAAACATACAATCTGTATTATTGTCTCCAAAATCCTGTAGAGTTACATAATCACATAAACTACAACCATAATAACGGACAACTCGTAAAGAGTGCAAGTTCACTTTAAAGCATGGCAAGTACGACAACGTGAAACACCAATATTGTGCCAGTTGAGATATGTTGGAAAGCCTCTGTTGGAAAGCACCATATCTTCTATAACAGGTCTGACTGAAAAGTTAAACATTTCCTCTCTCACGTCTACGCTGTCAAAAGAGCAAATGCTCCAGTCATCTTGGTGCTTTGACAGACATTCTGTGGTCTTGAGGTCTGAAGAAATGTACAAACACAGTTGTTACGGGCAATAATGATAATTCTATCATCTGTCCTCTTTACCCGAGCGTCATCTCCTCACTCATCTTAGGGACTCTACCCAAGTCAGTGGTGTAAGGGGCAAGCATTACGAAGACGGATGATTACGTTGGCAAGTTAAACACAGTGAGGTTTACCAGGAAACCAGATACTGAGGGGAAGATGAACCCTGGTGGTGAGCAGTCCCATGTTTTTTTTTTTGTTTTTTTTTTAAGTCAAGAAGCTGCCTGTCTACATCCTCTGAATCTCAAAAAGGCGGACATCAGTGTCATACCAGATAGGAGGGTCCACATTGCTAGAAAATGAAAAAACAGAATAAGATTAGTTTTAGTCGGTGTGAAAAGATGACTGCATAATGCTCATGCTTTCCCCTGACTCACCGCAAATAGACGACACCCCACATGTAAGTGCGAAACCACATGGCAGTGCCTGCATTGGCCTGATACTTTCTGATGAGGATGGGGTGAGGAACTGGCAGCAGGCCCACTAATGTGCCATGCTGGAGAAACTTCAGGATCTCTGATTCATCTGTCAAACCCCTGCAGCGAAACATGAGCAAAAAAACATTCTGGAAATATTTCAAAAGAATCTCAGTCAATATGTGACCTTTTTATGTTCTGACCAAAAAAAGAAACAATTGTTTATATACTTGTCGATGCAGATCTTCTCCACTTGGGGAACTAACACTTGTAGAAGACGCATGATAGTCTGCAAGGGTAGCTTACACTTCCAGGAGAGGACCTAGGGCAAAAGGGGTAAATCTGCATCAATTACCCATTCTGTTAAATATCCAACACGTAGAAAAACAATGAAGGCAAGGACGAGAGGAAAAGATGTTACTGACCCAATCTGGCGTGGGAGCCCAAAACGATGTCGAGGACGCACTTGACAAACGTCTTCTCTCCATTTCTGCGTCAGTGTAGAAAACATCCTGATAAAGTGAAGAAATAGATTTACCAACAGTGCATATGCTTTTAAACGCATGCACACAGACACGCACACTTACTTCATTATCTCTGCCTGAGTTTGACTCTGTATCACTGGTCCCGGCGACTGCGCTTTGGTCTGGGTGGACGGTGTGTGGGGAATCTGTCTTTGGGACGGACACCATGGTGCCATCCTCTGACACCTGTGACTTCTCGGTGAGTTTATCGATGCCTGCACGAAACACAGAAAACCAGTGACTACTCGCAGTCGAGAGATAGAAATTATTTAACAAAATGTGAAAAGCAAAGTAAGTTGACCAATGAGCCAATTTAACCCTCAAATAGTAAATAGCATACAGAGTTAGTACCTGGTATAGCGACCAGACTGGTCTTCAGTGTACCAGGCTCCGCTGGCACAGCAGGGTGAGAGCCCTCCATGGACACGGTCTCCTGGGAGCTTGTGCGGGAAATGACATCTGGTGACTTCCTCTTCCTTTGCAAAGCCTTTTGAATTGAAGATGGATCGGAGGGCAGGTTGGCCAGCTGGTGGAACACGTTACGTTTGCGAATGATGGCGTACACCAGGTTGCAGTTTCCTGGAGGTGAATGAATGGACAGATTTTATACGTGCAGATGTGTCTGCAAAAGCTGCAAAACAAAAAGCCCTTTCTAATACTCTGAAGTTTATAACAGTCAAGCTTTCTCTCACCGTCAAACTGGTACTGGATAATATTGTTAAAAGCCTCAAGAAGGAAGAATACAAGGTGATGGTTCTGGGCTGCAGAGAACAGAAACCAGCTGGTGGAGAAGGCCTCCAGCAGGTGGAGTAGTTTATTTGCTGCCACCATGGACAGGCTCTTCAAGTAGGGAGACACTGCAGAATAAACAGAAGAAACATAATAATCATGTAAAAAAATAAAATAAAAACAGTAATTTTCTAACTAATCAAACATGTAAAGACAATTATTTCTTATGATATGACAAAACTCATAATATTTGATGTTGCAAGTCAAATCTGCGTATTGCCCAACAGATGGCGCCAAAGCAATTCACCATTTACAACAATGGTGAGCAGACAGTCGAACAGAGGCTGGAGACGCTGGTGGCCTGTGGTGATAATCTTGTGAAACACCTACAAAGCAAACAGAGTGATAGCGGTGAACATGAGCTGTTTTTTAATCAGCCAGCAATAAAGAACAATACCAGTCCAGACTATGAAATGTCGCAGGTGTCTCACCACTATAAGCAGGTCAGCATGAGTCCCTGTGAACACCGGGATGTCCATCGGTACATGGATGGAGTAGGGCTTATTCAAGCGCACGCCAAAGTTTCTCTCCCCGCTCAGCAGCAGCAAAATGAACACGCCAATGTGCATGAGTCCTACACGGGCTGCACCCGAGGAAAACACGTCAAAACAAACTCACATGTAAGGCAGAGGCTTGTTAGTTGCAAGGGAACTGATAACACTGAGGTGAGACTTACACTGGTCAGCCCTGGCATCGTTCAGGTAGTAGAGTATGGGAACCAGAATATCCAACACATCACTGCTCTTCAGGACAAAAAACAGGAACTTCTGCCATGGAAAAACAAAGAGGTCTGTGTTGAATAAAGACAGCACAGACTTTTAATGACTCATCTGACCAAAGAAACTCTTCATTATAGTTCTCTCCAACCTTATTGAAGTCGCACAGCTTCCAGAAGAGAACCAACAGCTCTTGGTGGAACTGGATCTTCTTTGTGGAGTTAGGCAGATAAGTCTGAGTCAAAGGGTTGGTCAGCAGACGAGCCAGGCCCTTCAGTACAAAGTCAAAGTCCTGCCAGCAGGAGAACACAAGAAGCTTTGGACAAGTGATCTTAACAGGGAAAATCTTTGCGTATTTTATAGAAAGGATGATATGAGTACCTCTTCTCTGTGAATCCTTGACAAATAATTCACAAACAGGTTTTCGGGGCCTGTAGACTGCGCAAAGATACAGAGATTTATTTCAATGACATTAAACACGTGCCATATAGTTGATTAATTGATTATTTTTTTTCCTGCGGTCTAGGTGTCGTACCTCTTGTTCCTCCATGCTGGATGGGGAGGCAGGGCGGTGGGGAACCCCTCCGTCGTGCTCCAGCGTCACAATAAGGATCTGTACAGCCTGCTCCACTAGCTGCTCCCGGTAGTCAGAGAAGAGCAGGTGGTTGTAAGGGATGCCGTAGCCCACTGGATCGTAGGCACACACCACATTCAGCAGAGAGGTGAACAGAGGCAGAGCATGTCTAGGGGCAAAGACATGAAGACCAATCTGAGTGAATCATGTGCATCTGTGAGTCTCTTTCTTAAATTATAACGTACTGTAATTTCTAATGAACTGTCCTATGTTAGTCAACACAGAAATGATGTAGTGAAATCCTGAAGAGAAAAATAATGTGGAAATACAGACAGACTTGAGAGTTCAAATTTTTCATTCAAATCTCACTGACAACTCAGCAACAACCATCTCCATGAAAACTGAGCAAACTCCACTTGTGATGAAGATCATGAGATGTGTTTGTAAGCTCTGAAAAACCTAGTAAGTGGACCTTTTTGTCAGATAAATCTGCTTACAGGTAGTCTGTTTATTCACATGAATGTGAACTTGTATAATCAAGGTTTTACTTCTTGTGCGATGTAAAAAGTCTGATAAAAAACAAAAAAAAACAACTGACGATTTGATGAATGCACGTCGTCACGTGTTGTCCAAACATGCGTGGTTTTTATATATCACCTATTTTCAGTGGAGCAGAAGAAAGTCACCCAAGGGTTGAGGACACTGTTGTCTGATGATGGAGGCAAGTACATGGCCTCAGAGAAGCAGGTTAGTAACAATCTCAGCAACTCGGTCCTGAAGAGGGTCAGAGACAAAGACACAGAGGTGGAGAGAAACAAAAACCCAGTCAATCCGACGTGTAGATGAGACAGCAAAGATTACACTGATCGTGATACATGTCTTGCCAAGCACAGCTGGACACAGCCGGCCGACTCACCTATTCAGGTCATGGATGTAGTTGAGTGGAGGGGACTGTGCAAAGCCCACCCCTGCCTCCCATATGTATTCACAGCTGTCTATAGACTGCATGTTCTCTACAGAGTCCTGGTGGGGCAAAAAAAACAAAACAAACAAAAACATTCAAATGTAATTGTTTTTTTCAAATTGTAAAAAACATTTCTCAGAACATATGTTCAGTGACATTGCAATGACATTTCTGGTTGTCTATACTTTCTGCAACATCTTCTTAAACCTAAAAATATTAGGTTGTTTAATCCTGCATTCTTTTGATGTGTCTCTGTAAGGTAGTGTTATGCTATGTGTTAATGTTAAGTGTTGGAAACTAAAACGACTTGTTTAAGAATCTGAACACACAATGATCATAGTGCAGAAACTACCACTTATGCAAGGTTAAGGTTGGGCAACAAAATCATCAGGATTATGGAAAAATGATCATTGTTAAATGGAGAATGTTGGTAAGTCATCTCCAAAGTCAAAGGCTTTGCTCACCATAACAGCCTGCACAGCTTTATTTTCGCCTTCCTACACTTATGCTTCTTCCTGCTTTGGCGCTATCAGTGAACATTGTCTTAGAGAACAGTTACTTTCAACAAAGTTCTGTGAAGAGCTACATCTGAGCCCATTTTTGCATGATGTGGTTTAATGGTAAATGTAAATATAGAATGACAGGGAAATAATGAGCATACTATAATACAGTTTACCAGGGAAGTTTACACCGCTCAAGAGCATTCATTGTGATCTGCAGAGTTGCAGTCAGTCATGCAACTCCTTGCTCGTGAGAAATTCTTCCTGGTGACACTGAGTGTATCATCCATCATTATCTGTTTCTGTCTTCTACTCAGAGAAACTTGAATGACAGGTTAGTTGGGCAACTTTAGACCAGGAAGAAGGAAGTGGCGCTTAAAAAAATATGTCTAACCTTTAAAACAATTCAATTAGAGTAAGGAGAGAAAAAATATGAAATGTTTGTGTTCCACTATTATTGCAATGTGTCAGCAGCAGTTTTGTTTTTTTGGATGGTGGTGTGATGTCAGGTTGATGACACTGGACTTCACAGTGTTTCAGGACACTGGGTACTCACAGGGCCTCGCTTGTGGCTGTGCACAGTGAAGTCAGGGCAGAAGAGCAGGTCAGCGATAGCCAGGAGCAGCGACTCGGCCAGTGGTCGAGCTCCGTCATCATCATCCAGCTCATCTGTCTGGAAAGGAAGGTTATATTTATGAGACTAAATCCAAATGTTGAATGTTATTCCATACCATTGACTGAAAAAAATAATGATGGAAATGGTAAAATGACTCAGTGCAGCTGAATTTACCTTGCAGCATCACATTTCCTGCTCTACAGGAAAAAAGGTAAATATACCTCCTTACAACTGGAATAAGGGAACCACCTGAAATGATCAGCTGAGTCACAGATATATACTCATGAAAAGGATGGGTTTATAACCTTTATGTATTCATTATATTGTATAACTAGAGTGAGTAACCCTCTGGGAAGCCTCACAATTTTGTATTTTTGTAACTGAGATATATTTTTAGCAACAAACAAAAGCATGTTGTGTTCAAAGGGAGATTGTGCAAACGACAGTGTTGCTGCCTGATTATGTTTACACATGTTTTTAATTCTTAAAATAATCTTTCCTTTTTCTTTGTCCACTCACCCCAGCCCGCCCAGCGCCAGGCACCGTCGACCAGAAGAATCCTCTCCAGTCCTGGTCCTCAAAGATGTAGGGAAGGATGCGGGTCAGGATGCAAGTGCAGTTCAGGATCACCTGCTTCTCCCTCTCTGTGGGGCAGCCAGACTCTGCACCCTGCACCAGCTTCTCCACGGCCTGAAGAGTCAGGAGTCACATGAGAAGGAGTATGTATGGAATGGGAACCTCCAGTGAGCCGGACAAACTGTTCGATTGTTTTACGTCAGACCGATAAAGCTTGCTATAGTGTTTTTTCAATTCAATCTTAGTAATCCAATTTGCTTCAGCAACATCGGCGCTGCTTTGCAGTTGTTTAATGAGGCATCACCCAGTCAACATGCACAGTATGACAACAAACATCGTAGTTTCTGGCATGTTTTTCCATTATAAATTATGGTAATGCTGTTTTTGAAAATCAGATTCTTTGTAAGCTGATCGTGTGGGCAGTGAAGAAAAACCATCACAATGAACATATTCTTATAATATAAAATGTCTTATTTATGTCACCAACTAGACACATAATGAATTTGATTTTTGAGAGCAAAGATGCAACGTCTGAACAAAGGCAACTGTCGACAATGCTGAAGTGTCTTCATTTTGTTTGGGTCAGTAAACATGAAGCTATGTGCGGCACCTTGTAAACTGTTCATTAAAGTCTGTTTATACTTGATATCAATTACACTGGGGAGTACACTACATATCTACACTTTGTTTCTTTTAACAATGAAAATATTTTGCCTTTGAGACGGGGCCATTTGCTGCTGTTTTGGGCCTTTGACATAGATTTACTGTTGAAAATGATTCATTATCTACATTTCATCAACAGCACGCTTCAGCCTGTGTCTAAAATAGTTAACAAACCCCTTTGAATCAGCCCAGCTTCAAGGGCTCTCCTCTCCTCCTCTTTATTTAATTAGGCTCTAAGTACCCAGTATGCCTGTTTTGTCTCTGATAGGCAGCTTCAAATGGAAGCTGGAAGCAAGAGACAGGAAGCGAGGGGAAAGGAAGGGGAATTGACTCACATATTCCCACATTTGAGAACATGAGGCAGTGCCTGGCTGACAAATGCCAGCGCTGGGCTCTAACCAACAAAATCCTGCATTGTTTCAAAAATAATATTATTCCACTAGGCAGCTTTAATGTAAGCATGCAAAAATGAAACATTGTGCATAGATGTCAGTGATGTTTTCTATGAGCACTACCTTATAGCAGAGGGTTGCTAAATTTGAGGGGGACTCCTCTCGAACAGCTCTTATCTCTGCAGCTGGCACCAGTGCAAAAACATCCTGGACCGTGGTGGTGGTGTCTGCCCAGAACTGGTCCCAGAAGGCATCGTCTGTGGCTTCAACTGGCTGTAGAAAATATGTTTACATTTTACTTCCCTTAGAACTGAGTCAACGGGAGCATTTCATGTCAGTGAGATTTCAAATAAAAATTGGCCTGACTGATCTTGTATGGCATTGTAGTGCGTTAAAAGATCATTGTGCCCTTTTCATCATAATTCATACATGGTTGTTTAGTCTTGCATTGTGCAGCTCATCCGAGGCCTAGCTAATGGCAATGTAAACAACCTCTGTTCCAGCAACAGTGAAGAGGCATTATCTGGCACACTGATCCAAGCACAGTCCACCTGCCGCATCTGCAAACGTGGTCATTTCGAGACCTGCGTCACTAGCTTTGATTCAACTACGCCATCACTTATCTTATCGTCAAAACTAAACATGCACAGACTGGATGAAGGTTTGTGGTAATCTGCATCGCATAATCGACCGTCATTTAATCCAACAGTTTATGACAAATGCAATCTATTTGTAGTTCGGTGCATGCAATCTTAAACATCGACATTATAAACATTTCGATTATGTAAAATAAATATATGTTAATTTAAAGGGCTGTAAGCAATATGAGACTATGTTCTTCCTGCTACATGAAAAGCGTTATCTCATCTCCTCGGTGATGCTCTCCGGTGCGCTCATCGGCTCTGTCTCTCTATGTAATCCTTTATTCAAGAGTATGGAAGCGCATATACCTGTGTTTTTGTTGTCAGCTGAATCACCGCTTTCCTGAAGTTCAGTTTTGAATCGGTGCTGCCCATTGTGATTATTTCCCTTAATACTAACAGGACCGCTGCTGCTGAGAATCCCCGATAATCTCACCTCCGTCTTTCGCTTGAGTCATTGGCGGAGGCGTTTTTTTTTTTTTACACTATTGGCTGGCTGGACGGGCTGCACGACAGGGTGTGACTTCCGGGTTGAGAAGATGTCAACCCTTCACTACGGTTGGATGTTTTTTGTCCAGCATTTGAACTGCTATTCAAAACAATATGTTTTTCTTATGTCCTTATGCTGGAAATTGTCCCATACTTTGTTAGGTTGTAAATTAACCATAATTGTTTTATGGGTAGGTGGGCTGCTGCACCTGTTACATTGTAGATTTTTTATTGCAGAGAGTTCGGTAATTTCAACCCGTAAAGCAATTATTACATCTAGCTCCATGTGTGGAATAAAACGTTTCTATTGTAAACAGCGACATCTTTTGGGAAAATTCATATTGTGCCAGGCCATAGGCCAATATTTGTCTACTGGGGGTGCCTGATTAAGGCTAATTACATTTTTATAGCAGGACACTAATTAATAAAGTTATGGCGTTTAGCAAACTTCAATGAATCATTAAATTAGTAAGCAGCGTTCTTGTAGACTAATACGCTACAAAATCTGCGCCAGCGTCTTTTCATGTTGCTTTGAAGTGCTGCTCGCGATATTCAAGTTTCTTTCCGAAATTAGCTTATGTGTGTAACATGCGTGCAACCCAAAATAAGGAATAGGGTACATTACTTTTGTTCCCATTGTTATCATTATGACTGTCGCGCTCACTACTCTTTACATTTCTTGATCCACAGGATACTCTACTCTAATTCACCAACTACCATTACATAAGTATATATCATTTTTCTGACAGCCCCTGAAAGCACCATTACTAGTCGCTGCCGTCTTTGCGCAGCCGCAGTGCCATGTAAACACAACTGCCGCGGTTGGCTGTATCTCGGGCTAATATCGCTAACTAAATTGAGCTCAAAGAGCTGAAAATTTGCTCTGCTTGCGGTGCAAAGATTATTAGCCTTCCATGAAAGAAACGGCGCCAATTCTGCAATATGCGCTGTAGTCAGCTAACTAATTAAGAGCGTCAGCTAAGAAGGTTAGCTAGCGGCGACGTTAGCGTTAGCTTGTATCCAATGATAAAGCGTTTGAGACTGGCTTGTTAACTAGCTAGCCCGTTATCCTCACACCTTTTGTAGTTTAATAGAATGTGGAATTTGTAATTATTCGCTATATTTGTCAGTGTTACGAAAATGACCAGTTGCACCACGTCATTGTTCAGCGTAATTAGCTAGCCAGACAAGGTTAGTTTTGCTAACTCAGGTGACAGGCCATCGACTAACAGGAAACAAGCTACGTTTACAAGTCGATAGCATCAACCAGCCGGGTCCTCCAGTCTGATCAGAACAAACACAACAAGGAAACTCGTCGTGGTTGATTTAGTGTCATCATATGTTGACTGAAAACAGGTGAGCGAGGTGTTCCGTAGTTAATATAACGAGTAAATGTTTTCTGAAACAAAGAGCTGAGTAACGTTACTGTGGCCTTTATTAGCCGCTATCCTCAGCCATTTAAAAGGCTGTTCCTTATGCTAACAGATGATCGGGATTCATACATGAGAGCAGCAGTTGGTCGCGCATTTGTTAGGCCAGCGACATAACCGTATGAATTTGACAATTACACAATTAACTTTCTTTGTTCTGATTGTTTAACCGTTCGTAACACAGCTAGCCTACTTTGGGTACAACAGCGCAGCTTGCAATGCTGTCAGTCATTATGTAATGCCTTTAACATTTAATATGATGCCAGTATAGCGTTATGTATACACTTTGGCAGAACCAGATGAGAGTGGAAAGATAATGTACTGTCTTTGCTTAAAAATCTAGCAACCTTCCTTAGGTGTACTCTGATCTCAAATGCTGCTTTCACTTTTTTTTTTTTTTTTTTTTTTTTTTACAGATTGGTGAGACTATTCATTGATATATGACCAGCCCAGTGATTGCATATATGTGTGTGTATATTTGTGCCCAAACAGGAAACGGCAGCGCAGTGGTGGTGATGAGGAGAGTGGCCACCTGGTGCCCCAAGCCAAAAGGCAGAGCAGAGCTCACCCTCTCTCTCCTGAGCCAGGCCGGGATGCTTGGGACTCTGAGGTACAAACATGTGTCAGTGGATATAAAATCTTAATACTGAAGAAACTGAAATAGAAACTGGGCAAACAATTGTCCTCAATTAACTTTTAAGTAGCACCAGTTTTTGTTAGACATAAGGTTGCTTTTACTCCTGTAGTTCAGTTCACTTAGTCTGAATCAAAAAAACAAAAAGATACATTGTGTCTGTTCACTCAGATTTATTACAAACAAACAAACAATCTGGGTGTAAACATGAAGTTATAGGCACTGACAGGTAAGTCATTCATTGGACAGTTTTGACGACAATCATCCTGCATCATGAGCGTTGCATGTGCCCACATATGGGAATCGCACTTGGTGGCTGAAAAAAAATCATGCAGTAATTTACTGTATCTTATGTGTATGCTTTTTTGCTGGTGGTAACAATGAGCTCATAAAGAAACAGGTATTTATGAACATTATTAATCAAAACTGCATCTGGATCTCAGATGTCACAGATAGTGACAATGAGGGAGAACCAGGATAAAACAGAGCATCTTGTACCTTAATTATGTCGTCCTTTGTAACTTCTTTTCACTTTCAATGATTAACTGAAGACTTTTTAAATTGTGGGAAGTCCTCACACTTGTGGTGACGAGTATGTGTTACAGCATCAAATTATTTTTGCCAAGTTACATAAATCACACAGGAGATCGCTTTCTTGACAGTTCCCATGATCGATATCATGGGAGGGATGTAATAGTAGTTCTGCTTTTGCAGTTACACTAAAATCACATGTGTTGGTGCTTTCAAAACACAAATTAACCACATCAGAGTTTGCTTGGGACAAACAACACAACTACACAGGAGGTGTTGCATCCGCATTTTTCAGTCATCCGTCTCAAGCACTTAACTTCCAGAACAGATTTGCTTCTATTTTAATCAATCCAGCTGTCTACATAGGCCACATAACGGCTTGCATCTTACTTGAGCTATATGCACATAAATTGACCTGAAGTGTATTTTTACACTATTTTTCTGTAACTACTTTGATTGTGTATTGGGTTTTCAGAGCTGAAACCTGGGTGACCCACACTCAATACTGTGAACGCACAATCCTTTGTTGACATACATCGAGTACTGAAGTTGCTGCTGCTCTGCTAACATGTCGCTTTCACTAAGTTGTCCGTGTACAGTTCGCATCATGTTTTCACAGCTTGCACTCCAGCATATCTATGTGAGTCTTTTTAGAGGCTTCATGGGTGATGAGGTCATTGTGTTGTTTCGGCAAATGCCATACCTTACCTCGAAACATGTCAGTTTTGAGTCTTTGAATTTCACAAAATGAAAGACTAAACTGAATGCCACTATAGTCTTTCCATGTGATTGTAGAACACCTTGATGTTGAAAGATTCATACCATAAACGGTGGACTACATTTCCTAGCACACTGCTAATGTTGACATGTTGCATTTCAGTCATCCAACAGTGAGAGCAACAGCAGCATCAGCAGTCCAGAACATGCTGCTGGGAGCTGTAGCAGTCGGTGTGTTGTGGGCCCCTGCAGTCCCCTCAGCTCTGGCGACTCCTCAGAACTGGCCGGCCCTACAAACCTGGTGTCCTACCTGCAGATCAACCGCATCCTGAAGGAGGCCCACTTCCAGAGCCTGCAGAGCCGAGGCCAGCTCAGAGACACATGATGACTTAATGTCCTTCTGTCAGCCACCAGAGGACCGAGTCCCTCAAGAATATTGGAGCACCACATGCTGAATCACTTCACTCAGCTCTTCCCCACGCATCTCCAGTTACTGTGATATCTCACAGCTCTACATATCTGTGGATGGAGACCAGCTCCTGGTCAGGTATCTGGAGGGTGTTTATCATTCAAATAAATCAAAGTGATAATTATTTTAGCAATAATAACTGTGTGATCCACTTCAACATTTTTTGTGATCCACTTGATTTCTGACCAGTCTGGTTTACATGCTGCTCTCAGAGCCATTGTAGTGACTGATTGATGATGATAAATCCCCGTGTTTTGTCTTATATGTTGTATGAAAACAGTGCTACTGGAGCTGTCCAAATGGCACCAAACACAATTTTAGGCCGGTCAGTGTGACCTGTTTAGTCTCCTTGTAGGGTACTTGGTTGTTTAATGCTGAATCTGATGTCTGTGTAAGTACATGGACCAGTCTCAGGGAGGATTTGCACTTGTCTTGGACTGCTCATTTGTTTTCATATTCAGACAGTGGCTCCTTTACAGGGGGCTGTAGAATCCATGGGTGTTAACTTGGCCAAGGAAGTTATTTTCTGTTCCTATTTTGTTAGTTGATAGAGTATTTCTTGTCTTGTCTTTAGATTTCAGTTAAATGTAGTCTAGATTCAGGAAGCCATGGAATAAGTGAGTTGGTTTTAGCATGGATCATACATTAAAAGGATTCCATAATACTGCCAGACATGGGAGTTTTGAATAAATTTGCAAATTTTCCACACAGGTCCACAGTGAGGGCCGGTGTTGTCTCCAAGTCTGTTCTCCCGTTGATGTGTGTTTCTCGTTACCTTAACATGTAACCTTATCCTAACTCTAGCCACTGAGGAGAGGGGGCACTATAGGAAACACAGTTGCAATGGGAGGGAAACTCTATCTGACAGTGTAAAAGACTTTGACACAACAACGGTAAAGAGACTGACGGCTGGTAAAACCTTTACGGACCGATATGGCAGCTCACCACTGGGAGTTGTCCTGGTGTGCTTGATGGCCATTCTTGTTCTGCCGGTGGCTGCACTTTGTTGACCCGTGGCTTGGGAGGGGGGGTCGTCAATGAAGCGTGTTAACCAATAAATGTGGCTGGTGAGCATCCTAACTATTATATCTAGGTTTCCAACCGAGCCCCCCAAACATCCCGATGCGTAGGCCCGGTGGGCTGCCATGCTTTGAATACACTGGCAGAAACCGTGCACATCCAA